CTTCACAAATTTGTCAGTGATGTTTACTTGATTTACTTCAATAATAATTTAATACCGTACTTACTGTTTTGGGCGAAGATATAAAATACGACGTAAATTTAAGGCCCGGATGGATTATCTGGAGAATATAATTTACTCCGAAATATGATATTGCAACAGACTGGGCTATTCTCCACTCCATCATCTCTGTGGAAAAATCGGATGAGAATATTATAGACGAAGTAGATATATGGAAAAATCGGAGTTGGCTAAGGGAAAAATGACGATAAACCCCTTTTTTTTTTTCAAAAATATCCTATGTCATATATTTTATTGATAAATATACATATGCCTAAAGAATATACAGGTGATAGTAATATCTACACTGTTAAAATTTCCAAATAATACCCAATGACTCGAGAAATGATTAAATCGGAAACTATGAGTAGAGTTACACTCAATTCTCGGTTAATTCCACTAATAAAAAAATCACTCATATGTGAAAAATGAAAACTTGAATAATGAATTGTCATTTTCAGATCGATACGAATTAATGTTTAATCAATAAATGAAAAGAATATGTCAATATTTCGAAAATTTTAACAGTGTACTCTCGCAGCATCAAGTAATTTCTTAACTAATACATACTAATCAAAATTTTAAATCAATCTATCCGAATGATGCCATTTTACACGAATCAATTTACAACTAATTTATGCATTTGACATACACAAATTCTTCTGTGTGCTGAGAAAAAGTGGATGTGAGGTGAATTGAGAGAAACTATTTAAAAAAAAGTGTAATGAATAGAGCAATGATTACAGAAGAATATCGAACGTAAATTTCTTTTGATTTCTCATTTCTCCGTACAAATACTCCGTGCTCGGTATATCGCATAAACTATTTGATAGTTTTAAATGTCTCTCTAATGTGAACCGTATTCAACTTATAATTTTATCGTACGCATGTATCCTTTAATCACGACTTCTGAGGCCTTCCTCGTTTATTCATCGTTGTTTTCACAACTGACTGTCTGATGACGCTGGATTGTCTCTTCCGAAGTGTTGATGGGCTGCTGTGGGAACGCAGATGACGAATGTAGAGGAATCGAGATCTGAAGACTTTTTTACATCGTCGACACCTTTGAACTTTCGATTTTTCTGAAACTAATCAAAACGTCATTTATTAAATCCTCAAAATCCCTTCAATTCATCCAGATAATTTCCAAACCGATAAAAATTCAGATAAAAATCGAGTCCTCACCAATTTTCTTAGTGGCATGCTGCAGCGAATGTGCCAGCATCATAGCAAGACTTGAAAACCACCTGCCACAATCCCTGCAATTCATTTTCCTGGTGCCAGCATTCCTCCAAGACCTGACTTTCCTGACCTTCTCGAACCTCTCCTTCCTCCTCCCCTCGATTTTCTTCTCCTTTTCCCTTTTCCTCAAACTCCTCGTCGCCCTACTCGTGTCCTCGAGTGACTCCTTTTTCTCCTTGAATCCCCCAGTCATTTTTTTTTTCAGCGTATGCATGAGTCTGACATGCCTGGCCAGTGCCACCACTACCTCAAACCTCTCGTGACAACTCTTGCACTTGTACTCTTTTTTCTCCCTGCTGCCATCACTCGTCGATTTGAGCCTGGCAGCCCTCATAGGTCCACTCCTCCTGGTTTCAGTCCTAGTCCTCTCTGACATCCTCTCCGATGGTTTACCCTTAGAGCAAACCCTGGCATGAGTCTCCAGTGCCCTCTTACCCCTGAACTCCCTCCTGCATCCCTGACATTTGAAAACCTCGAGTCGTCTACTCCTCCTTCTCTCAGCCCCATCGTCGTAATCACTGTCATCGCTGTCATCGGGCTCCACGTCGTCATCCTTGTCCTCGTCATCGTCATCGGAATCCCCAACCATGATCACATCATTCTCCTTATCACTAGAGCCCTTCTCCTTGCCATCCTCTAGAGTTATAATCTCCCTGTTAACATCCTCCACGTCGATATCAATAACTTCAATTCTATTCTTCTTCTTTTTTCTCGGTTTATTCTTCCTCCTAGTCTTCATGTACTTGGTCTTCTTCATGGTCTCATTCTTCTTGCGTCGTCCCCTCTTCTTCGGCTGCACCCTCCAGCCATTCCCATATACATTATCGTCATCAACCTCTGCCATTATCGCTGGTTGAATTATTATTTCGGAATCAGCGCGATTAACTGCCGTTAATTGTTGCTTCCTGGGTCGTTTTATCCTGAGAACCTCCGGTGATGTCTGTGTATTAAATATAACCTCCTGGGGGAAACTCTCGTGGTCCTCGACATTGATATCCTCAAGAGTCTCGTAGGAGGAGTCCATGTCCACTCTGGAGTACATCTCTGCCTTGACCTCTCTGGACGCAGCTTTACTCCTAGGGATGTCTCGTTCGAGAATCTTCTCGATGTCGGCCAGGGTGAGATCTGAAGGGTCCGGTGGGGGCTCATCCGAGAGAATATATTGCACTGACTCCTCCATAACTTTGGTGTTGATTTCCTCCTTCACTGGGGCTTTCCTCACTGTCTCCTCAGGTCTCTCGATGCTTGGGCTCTCCTGCACCACGAGGAAAACATTTTCCGAGGGCCAGTGCTCGTACAACTCAGGATTCACAACATTCTCCTCAAAATTTAGAACTGGTTTTGTCAGAGGCTCAGTCAGATTAACATCTTCGTCTGCGAATGAATTTTCCTCTTTCACGTGGGTAGAATTGAATTCCTGGATTATTTCCTTCTGGTGAATTTGTGGTGTCTCTTCCAGGGGCTCTGGGGGTTCTATCGGCTCTGGTACTATTGACTCGATATTTTCCATCGAGTAAATTTGTTTTTTGAACTGAGGTGTCTTTTTAACCGTTCTTACAGCTCCCTCGCCTATCAATTTCTCAACGTCCTCTTTCATGAGGAATTGAAAATCCGAGGGTGGCTCTCCAGACTCGTCGTAAACAGCAACAGCAAATACTTCTTCTGAATCCTCGACGGCGTAGAGGGCCAGCTGTTGACCAGCTGCTGTGATAAATGTAGCTATTGTCTCCTCATCCGATTCATTATCCTCGGTGTCCAGGAGGCCGAGATCTGGAGAGTACTCCTCGAGTTCCTTCTTCATGTTGTTATTCTGGAAGATAACTGGGGAAATTTCATCCTCCTTGTGGAAGAGGTTGAATGATTCCTCTTTCACGTGAATCATTTCAGTTTCCGAGAGGTGTATCGAGGGGTTGGAAATCTCTGGGAGACCATCATCAGACTGGGAGATCCTCTCGTTAACCTGTTAATTCAGAACATGAATTATCGATTTTTATGACTGAAACGACAAATTAAAAAGAGTAAAACTCGTAAATCATTGAAAATTTATAAACTCACCATGATTTTCACTCTGAATCTGTCTCCTTTCTATAAATATATTATGACATTCTAGCTTCAACTTTTCCCTAGTTGTACTTTCGCCAATTGCACATCAACCCAACACTCAACACTAATTCCCCAACGAATATCATTTCCTAATCCTAAAACCGATAATTATCACCATCTGCAATGAATATTCACAAAACCGATGAAACCCAAAAAGATAATCAATTCACCCCTTGCAGGTTATGTTTTTTATATTTTTAGGTGAATAGTGTGGAGTATGTGATTTCTTATTTACCTCTTGCTTCCGATTTTAAATACTCTTCACCTTTTCCTCGAATCACTTGTCTCCCAAGATATTACATAAACTCAAATTTTCAATCCGAATTCATCAACTCCTGGACTGTTATTTTCGGATGCAAGTTGATAATAAATGGAGATCAATTGTGATGCATTGCAAAAGGCATAACTAACACAACATCTTGCGTATACTTTATTTGGTATATTTAGTTATCAATCATTAAGCCGAATCTGCAATTTTCAACGAGACGAGTGGTGGGGTGAGCACGGGTCACGTCAACACCGAATATCTCGAGAACAAATGATTCAATTTCCTTGAACTCCTGCTCATTTTGAAGATCGCAAAAAAATCTGGAGAATGGAGGAAAAAATGGGGAAATTCACTCAGCCGATTTCAAGATATCGGCGATTGAAGGACGAACGTTTTCTTCTGGTTTTCATGAATTCAATATGGCGGGACGAGACGCCGAGCGAGGGAAAAACGAGAAAAATTTCGACAAGAAAGTGTGAGTTATATATTCATGTGTCCACAAATACCTGATATATACACTGCGTATATATAACGCATATTGCACACCGGGGGTTGAGGTATCGGATCAACGAGAGAAGAATTAATTCATTCGAATTTAATGAACCGGAGGGTTTGGGTGATTGATCGATAGGTACGTAATCACTGAAAAATTTATGTCTTTGTTATAATTTTTGGAGTGAAGAACATGTGCATGTCCAGGATTTGCCCTTGAAATCGGTTGGTCAGTTATGGGCCCACGTGGACGTAACTGATATAACCCCGGTGTTAACAATCTCAATGTCGAGATAAGTGACGCACTTTGATACCAATTTTTTCAAATTCAAATTACTTAAACGTACGAAGTAAATTGTCTTGATTACTGGATTAATTATTCTGGGGTTTATTGCAGAGAATGATTGTGTCTGATCACGGCGTGATACATTCATCGAGAACATTGCATCAGGATAGGTCGAATTTATAATATTTTCTGAAGAATTATTTTTTACTATTTCAATTTATTGTGGATATATATCTGAGAATTTTTGGTAAAAATGACGGAGAGAGTTGATCCGAAGGAACTCGAGCCCATGAATGCCCTTGGTGGTGAACATGAGAGAGTACGGATGAAGAAACAGTTGGGATTGATGGAGGGGGTTGCCATAATCCTGGGAATTATTTTTGGATCAGGTAGAGTGAGAAAAAATATCAGTCGATAATGGAATAAGTGTTTTATCGTCTCGGTGTTTTTTTTTTATTCGCAGGAATTTTTATATCACCCAAGGGGGTTATCCAGGAAGTGGGTAGTGTTGGTCTGTCTCTTGTGATATGGGTCCTCTGTGGGCTGTTGTCGATGATTGGGGCCCTCTGTTACGCAGAATTGGGGACCAGTATACCCAGGAGTGGAGGAGATTATGCGTATATTCACGAGGCCTTTGGTGCACTGCCATCATTTTTGTATTTGTGGGCAGCTAATCTCATCTTTGTGTAAGATATCAACGAAATATCGACCCAAAAAATTCCAATTTTTCCTGAATTTTTTAACATTCGTATCTGATTATTAATTTTCATTTCCAGACCCACAACAAATGCTATTATGGCACTGACATTCGCTGAGTACGTGCTACAGCCTTTTTTTCCAAGCTGCTCAATCCCTGATGGCAGTGTGAGACTGATAGCAGCTCTGACAATCTGTAAATCCCCTGAATCTATTTAAAATAATTATTGAATTACTAAATTAACACTTGAATTTTCAGGTTTATTAACATTCGTTAATTGCTACGACGTGAAGGAGACGTCAAAAATGCAGAATATTTTTATGTTCGCTAAAATAACAGCCCTGGTGATCATAATCTTCGCAGGACTTGCATGGCTCATACTCGGCAAGACTGAGAACTTTCACGATTCGTTCAAAGAAACCACCACTGATCCTGGAAGAATAGCTGTTGCCTTCTACTCGGGTATTTTCTCGTACTCTGGATGGAATTATCTCAATTTCATGACTGAAGAGCTGAAGGACCCCTACGTGTGAGTATTTAATGATAATTTTTACAACCTCCTGTTTATTAATTCTATAATTCTTCCAACAGAAATTTACCTCGTGCCATCTATATTTCTCTGCCTCTCGTCACTCTAATTTATGGTCTCGCTAATATTGCGTATCTCGCTGTTCTTAATCCTACGGAGATGATGGCCTCTAGTGCTATTGCAGTGGTAAGAACTCTTGCTCTATTTTTCTATCGATGAAGTAAAGGAGGCCAATATATTTTCGTTATTTTCAGACACTAGGGGACAGAGTACTGGGTTCAATGTCTTGGGTGATGCCTGTGCTCGTCGCTGCTTCAGCATTCGGTGGTCTCAGTGTTCACATCATGACTTCCTCGAGGATGTGCTTTGTTGGGGCACGCAATGGCCATTTTCCCGCAATGCTCAGTCATATCAATGTCAAACGCCTGACACCCACACCTGCTCTCGTTTTTCTGGTAATTAAACACCGAATTTCATACCATAATCTATCGATATGAATTAAATGACTTTTGTTTCAGTGCATATTGTCGTTGATGATGCTATGTACGAGTGATATTTTTGTACTTATAACCTACTGCAGTATTGTGGAATCATTTTTCATAATGGTGTCGGTTGCTGGTGTTCTCTGGTTGAGGTATTCACGTCCCAAAATGGAGAGACCAATAAAGGTGAAGATATTATTTTCATTACAATGAAAAAATTCTGATAAGTGAAATTTAGAAGTTTTATTAAATATCGAGGGATCTTGAAAACCAGGGATTTTACGAGGAATGATGAAAGAACTTTTTTTATTGGAAATTTAATTGTCTACAAAAAAGTTCTTTTAAGGTTTCCCTCTGGAATCGATGGGGTTCTCCCCATAAATCGATTATTAAGAGCATTTTATTCGATTTATGGGATTTTATGGATTTCACTTTTCACTTTATTAAGTCGACAGTTTTATTCCACTCAGTTATTCGATTTCAGGTGGCTTTATGGATTCCTATAACATTCGTTGTTATCTGTGCCTTCTTAGTCCTTGTTCCCTGCTATGTGAGGCCTTGGGAGGTATTCATGGGCACTTTGATCACAGTATCTGGAATTCCCGCCTATTTTGTGGGAATTGAATGGAAAAACAAACCCGACTGGTTCCAGCGATTAAATGGTAATTTATTAGATCACCTAGCACTCCAGTTGTTGTTTTACATTGGCGAACATTTATTTTTTCAGTCAAAGCCACTCACTTCATCCAGAAGTTGTTCATATCAGCAAGAGAGGAACTAGATGAGTGAAAATACCCTCGGGTTTAGGAATTGTTCCAAAGATTCGTCATTTTTTCATACCAAATACTGATTGACTGCTCCTCATATCATAAATGAATCTCATCACGCTTCGCTATTTATTTTGTATTGAAAAGGGCATTGATGATTGGTATTATTCTACATCATACAACTACAAATACTATTTTTCGGTATTTTCTTCCTATTTTTCTTTATTTATTGTATTCATAACATCACGCACAGAGATAGGATTAACGTTAACAAGTGCTTTTTTCTTGTTGACTAAAACAATCTGGAGTAATAATTTTTTCTTCAATCTATTTACAGAAAAATTCAAATTTTTACATGCGTCGCATGAATAAAGATGTTTCGATTTTGTCAACAGGATTTTTCTTTCTTTAATTTTATCTCTCAGTTAATTAGTGCAGCACTCGGAATGTTATTTTATCGGATAATCAATGCGACTGGAAAATCCAGTGGGTAGAGTGAATTATTTATATTTAATGCAGAATTAAAACTTTCTGTTGATGGATTCAGTGAATATCCTCAGGATTGAACATGCCCTGGAGAAAATTAAGTCGTTGATTTATTATTCTTTTGATTGAAGGGGATTGACGTGTTTTTGAATATTTATTTCATACCTTGGCACGACGGAGGATTGAGTCCTTACTGGCGTCATAGGGATGATCCTTGCTGGGAATTTCAAGGACTGATGGGACGGGTTGTGTGTGACTGTCGATCACATGACGAATCATCTCTGCTACCTGCAAACAATTTTATTCTCTTCTTCATTCAATTCAATCAATTCAATCCCCAAAATCAATAAAATAAATCCTCACGTTCTGGTTTATGAGGATGATGTCGATGTCATCGCGTTTTACAAAACGTTTGAACGTGTCTTCAATCTCACTGACAGCAGTGTCTGCAATTAAAAAATACATGAAGGATTTTCAAGACAAAACAGCTAATAAACTTGACTCAGTTGTAGAGAGCATTCTGTTGAATATATAATTTATCACTGGATAAAAAGAATTAATGAGAATTGCCATTTACTTTTATCCACAACCATGAAATTGGGCTGACGATTTTTGTTAATCTCTCCAACTCCACCCAGAAGAAATCCCACACACGTATCCTGGAAAATCAATCCTCGAGATTACAATCACTCATTGCTCACGAGAAAAATCCCAATTATTTGGATAAATTTGGGTACTCACCTCGTCTCCAATTACAGCGAGGAGTTTTCCCTTTCCTGCGGAATGGAGAGCCATATTAATAACAATTTCACTGGGAAATCAATCGATTTTGAGATGTTAAATTGTTGGAGGTGTTATTTATTTTTTTGAAGGATCAGTTCAGATCAGGGAACCGTCACACCTTCACCCTCGTGACCAGCTGACTACTCCTACAAAAAGTGGAATAGAATTCATTAGGAATATGAAACCTGAGGCACGTGGTGGAGAAGACAGGCATCAACTAGTGCTCGTCGATAAAGAAGAATTCCTGGAGTCAACTTCATATTAGTCAGAGGAAAACAACCTTCAAGATCAAGATCACCTCAAAACCGATTGATTTGTTTATTTATAACTGGATAGACAGAAAAAAGGGCTTACGGTCTATGTAAGAAGAATCCTCTCGTATTGGCCGACGTCTCTTCTTCTCACCGGACTCGAACTCCGCCCTGAGGCCACAATTATCCAATTATTTTCGTTTGTTTTGTTCTTTTTTATGAGAATAAACATTTGACGAAATAATTCAACCAAATTCCAATGTGATTGAGGTTATTCTGGGTTTTGGATATCGAAAGGAACTTGAGCGTAAAACTGTCCACCTCCAGAGAGTAAGTTTTTTTTATTTTCAAGAAAATCCAAATTTTCCATTTTTTCGCTCGATTTTCATTTCGTTATTGTTGATTTATCGTGGAAAGGAGTGCTTTTGGAAAAATTTTTACTGGACCTTTTTTTTTAGAGGATTAAATTTAGAACAGAAAATGTCAACAACATTTTTTTCTGAATTCATTAGCAGTCGAGATAATTAATTTTTTAACTTCTATTTCAATCTCTCAATATTCTCTAAATATTAATCAACTGAAAAATGACAAGTCAATTGCCAATTGCACTTCGATACTTATCAATGGTCGCTGATTAAATCTATTGAAATATTGCTATGTCATCTAGGAGCCACTTACATCCTCAAGAAAATTAATTCCGCGTTTCTGAAAGTCTCGTCTCTCACTACAGCTCCTACGTCCCCAGTTGATCTTGATATGTTTCTGGCAAATCACCAATACTCAAATGTAAATTGTGACACAGGCGTTGAGCCAGAAATGACCCTCCCTGCGATATTAAATTAACCCGAACCAAAGCTATTTTATTTGTGTAAAAAAATATATTCTAACACCAGGAAGGAAGCTAAACGAGCCAGCATGCCTGAGCCAGTGAATCACCAGGTGAATGCAGCTCGTAGAACATTTCAGACACTCTACGAAATATCAAAATTATTGAACACCAATTTAGATCCAGCGACGCTGAGTATTTGTGTCAGATTATGTGAAAATGGTGTCAATCCTCAAGCGTTAGCCACTGTTGTCAAAGAGTTGCAGAGAGAAGTCAAGGCTCTTGAAAATGCCAATGCCGACAGTGGAAAAGGTACATTGAAATGAGTGAAAAAGTTTGAGCCATTCACTTAATTTATTCCATGTACGACCGGTAAAAAATTAAAGAAAACATTGTAATCCAAAATATGGAATTGATCACTCAAACCATGAAGTTATTCCACCAGTTGAAACAAAACTTATTGAATTATTCAGTTATTAATGGAATATTGTTGGCACAGCCTTTGAATTCCACGTCAGGATTTTTAATTTACAATTCAGTATTTCCAGATTTTGTCTTCTTCGTTCCACTTTTGTATTCCTGAAATGAAAATAATCAGAGTAATGTTGAAAATTCATCTGGGTTCTCTCTATGATTTTATTCACCTTGTCTATGTGATTTCCTGGGAAATTATTTCCCTCGAGGGTGACGTGTTTCAGTTCTGGTTGATCTATTAAATAATTCTTTGCATCCACCGCCTGTGAACCCTCACGGAACATAAATATCGAGCGTTTCGACTCGATAGGGTATCTAATAAAAATTAATTATTATTAAAAAAGACTAATATCGTCTTCGAATCCTAGAATGACTATCTAAATTATTAAGAGGCACCTCTCGGCTACGATGTGATTGTTCTGGAGGCTTCCTTGCCAGATTTTCATTATACCGTCAGCCTCGGTGTCTGAGAGCTCATCCCTGACGTCGACGAACATCATCACATTTTTTCCTTGCTTCGTGGCCCTCAGAAGATTATCAGGATTCGTCGGATCAATCTGTCATCACGAATTTAACGCGTGAGTCGAAACAAAAAGACTACTGACCGAAAATTTTCAAAGCCATAAAAACCTGTGACAAATCGATCTTTGGAGCTGGTCGGAGGTGTTCAGGGAGTTCGTCGTCCTCCAGGGGTTCCTCACCCTCCTAATTATCAAAACAATTATTTACCCCGACCCATGATTAATTCATTAATGAAGTGATAAACGATAACAAGTTTATTACTCTGCATATTGAGGGGTAATATTGGTATTGGAATAAAATTTTGATTGGTCATCCCTACAAGGAGGTAATTACAAAAATTGTACTATTTATTCTGAATTCAGAGATATAGATATAGATATTAATCGAAAATAAAACTGCTAATTAAACCGATGTAGCTTCTGTAACATTTATTTATTTTTTTTTATGATTAATGATTATTATTGGAAAAGTAATTAACCTCCCACTGATCCAGCAATCGCTCCATATCAGCATCTGTCATGTCCATGATATCCTTATCCTTCCATGATTTCACCTTTTTCTCCTCCCCATTAACTGATAATAACACACAAATAATAATAAACACCTCGAGCTTCATCTCTCCAGCTGGTCCTGAACTTTCTCCCTAACTCCTTTTGCTCCAGTGAAAAACAATAAACAATTTATTGTCGACGATATTCAAGGTTATGAGTGAAACGAGGGAAATCCAGAAGTTCGAAAGATAAATGAGAATCAGCTCTCCTAGTTATCAGGAAGATGGCGACGCCGAAGTGTTTATGAATTTCATCAAATGTTTTTTTTTTTGGGTATTTAAACAAAAATCGCACTCCGAAAATTTAAAAGACAGCACGAGTCAGGGAATTGATGAATATTCGATGGTACAGGTGTGAATTTAGTTGGACAATCAATTAGGAAATTCATTCTGACTTAATGAATCGATTCTATCAGAAAACGTTGAGTATTCATTATTCAAATCCGATAACATCAGATATATTTTACAGGATTAAATTCCAGAAGAAATTTCTGTATACGATTGACCACGAGCCACATTGATATGCATCTCTATTGGATCTGTGTCTCATGAATGAAATTCAGTAGCTCAATTATTCAATTATTTGTTATAAAAATTGGGTCACTCCGTAGAAGACGTTTTTCCCATAAACGACTGGACTCCTAAAATATTCAAAAAACAAAACAACAACTTTCACTTCTTAATTTAATGATGAGAGATGCTGGGGTTTTAATTTTAATTAATTTATCCATGTTTAATCAAAGGTAAATAGATAAATTAAGTATTTAGTAATTAGTGGATTGATCGAATGGATCGAATGGAATTCTCAAAAAATTTGAAAAACGTAAATAATGTCGAAAAATGGGTAATAATAATGCCCATTCATTGTCGATCAATTGTTTGTTAATAATAAATTTATAAAACAATTTTAAAGTGCGAAGATAATTTTTTTTCGAATTCATCAACTTGCCAGTGACTTTGATAATAATTAATAGGCAATTTTCATCAAGGTCTTTATCATTTCAGATAATTATTCTACAATCCGAGAGAGGCATTGAACATTAAATTCTTCAATTGCAAACTTTAAATAAAAACATGTCCATCCGACCCCGCACTCACCATTTATTTCTCTAAAAATTCTTATCTAAAAGCCAAGAATATTTACTCGCCAAACAGACCGATTTAAATCCCTGAAGATTAAAGAACCCGAAGAGATCTCGTGGACGTACCAAAAAACGATGAAAAATTGCAGAGGGGCAAGTAGAGATAATTTATTATTTTCATAAACAAATGTACATAATGAGGGAGGAAAAAAAATACAACAAAAAAGTGGAGCAGGTTCATGGGAACGGGCTTCCATGGGAAAAAACCCCTCGGTTATGATATTTTTCAGCTTCCCATTTCTTCTTTTTTGGTTGGTCGTCCATTCTTTGTTGGTACCATTCAATCCACCCGTGTAAACCATCTGGGAACACCCCTAAGACAGGAGTAACGGATTTTTCAACCTTCGTGCTATTGATCGTGATGGGTTTAGCATATGAAAAGGGGATAGGATTCGGCCCTTTTTGCGTATTATATTATTTCAATGAGTTTAATTTGAGAGGGAAGTTTTATATCGCTGGGATTTCACAGGTACTGATACATTCCATTTAATTTTTTTTCCATTCAATCTCTCTAAAATACACCTCAAACATTTTTTCTATTCCCACAACAAAACAAACACGAAACAATCATGATAATTAATTGCCTCTCATTACTCTAATCTCTCCCCTGAATCCCTGAATCCCTGAAACCCTGATTTTCTCCATTTCAAATTCAATCAAATATTTCTCTGAATATCGAGTATTTCGTCCTCAGAGTTTATAAATCAATCGTCTTATAAATAATCCTCAATATCCTCATCAAAACATTTTTATCTAATTTCAAATTTTCACCTCATGACATTTAACTATTTATCCCGTTTGTTTCAGAATGAATTCAACGATTGTGGCATGAAGTGAGAATTGGGAGGATAAAATTATTACGCAGTTTCCAGGATGAATCAACCCCACGATAAACTCCTGGTGAATATCTCTGTCAACTGGGATGATCAATCAATGATCCTGCAGGCCGGGACAAGTGCAATTTGATACAAAACATCACAAATAATGCCCTCATCTCCGCCTGCATGACAATTGAATTCTCTCGTTCATCACTCATCGATTCCATGGACAACGCCAGAAGACGAAAAACAAATAACGTCGAGATTTCTGCACTTCGATAGGCCGGGACAAGTGCAATATTACAATAACCAGGAAACATTGTCACATATCTCGACCTACCTCTCATGCAACAAAATCCTCCACAACAATCAAGCAACTCCTGATATTGATCTTTGTCAACAATAATTCAAATCAAGAGCGCCAATTCGAATCTATCGAATTAATCGTGCACAAGGTAACTCGAATTTAATTCCTCAATTCTTATTATAATCATCTTCAAATTCTGAGTGAAAGTGATAGAGTAATAATAAGAGAGGAATAATAAATAAATCACAGATATTTAAATAATAAAATGAATAGTAAATAGAGATAATGAACGATGAAGAAATATAGATGAACCGTATTTGCACACTTCACTGATTTCACTCACTTAAATTTATCCTAAAAATCATCTGATATTTTTTCAGATGATGCTGAGAATGTTGGACTGATGAATTCCGGTGGAAGACTGCTGGCTGTAGCCAGGTGTCCTGCCTCTTTATTTCTTTTGGGTCCCCACGCTGGTGCCCCATGGTTAGACCTGGGGACGGGGTCCGGGGGTAACACGAAACCCCTCCCTAGACCCCTATATAGCATGTGCCCCGAGCATTTGCCCACAATGGTAGTTGTAAAATATTTCAGTTGTGTTTGTAGTTAAGGCGAAAACCGTACCACCAGTGGGTTGGTTGCTGGTGCCCACGATACCAGGAGGGGGTACAGGTTTAGAAGAAGGGAACAGACGTTATTCTTATTTAACAGGACACAGACTCCAATGGTGATCAGGATAGCTTCCCCTATTATACCCCCACCATTTAATCCAGACCTTGCCGAGGGAACTTTTTCCCCCCGTAGACCTACTTATAATGCTCGATAATATTAGACATTTCTTCTTTTTTTTTTTCACCTTTATTTTTTTATTCCAGCAGATTTCTTTATTCTCAATTCGAGTTTCTTTTCTTCACTTCGAGAGACAACAGCCTCAACGATATGTCCCGCCAAAAAATTGTATCAGCTGTCCCTTTGGATTTCTTGGGGAACTTGTCGATGGGTTGCCTCCACGATGGATGTCTTATTGTCTTGTGATAGTCATGGGGGAAATGGAATATGGTGATGGGGGGACGGGTTTTTCGATACACGTGGATTTCGCATGGACTTCTGGAAGAATGAGGTTTCGGGTCTAGGGGATATAAATTTCCGTTGGTGTGCTGTTCCAGTTTTTTTTTTAATTCTTCGGGTGAATTTAGTATTACTGTTATATCATCGTTGGTGATTTATTGGGAATTTTTTTATTTTAGAGTAGAACAGGAGAGATTGTTGGGAATTGATGGAAGTGCTCGAGACATTTACCCCTTTAAAAAAATTCAAGGAAATCGTTTGAGTAGAAGAGCTAGTGGAACTGGGATAAATGCAATTTTTTCGAGATCCGTTTTCATCGAATATCTCGGGATTGAAGGGACATAACGAATTTTTTGAGTAAACATTTTTTATAAATAAAGATGAGAGCTTTGAAAAAGGTTTTCATGAAAATATCGTTATCTTCGTTCCATTTCGAGATATTGAGGAAAAACTGTCATTGAAAAAAATTGAGTTATTCTATTTTACTACATCGCAAGAGATTTCTTCCATTTTTTTAAAGGATGTTCTACAAAATTCACGTTCATTCTTTTTTTCATTGACGTAGCAAACTTACGATGGGATATTCAACGACTCATAAATTTTTCTGGCTTTTTTATAAATTAAAAAAAGTCACAAAACTAGAAAAAAGGGTTGAAGCTATTAAATGATAATGACAATAGGCAAAAACGTCGGATTTTTTCACGTCAATCCTATCGATAATTCCCCAAGAAAATAAACAAAACCCTGAATTTTAAAAGGGTGCACTTAATACAATCAATATAATATGTAATAACAATAATATAATATATAATATGGTAGTCCATTCCCCCTACTCTAGTCTCATCCGCCCCCTTCTCCACAATTACTCCAAACACCTAAATATAAAAATTGAAATAAAATCATAAATCCTTAAAAAACCCGAAAACCGGGAAATAGAAGAAGATACAAAAAATCGAGAGCACCACAAAACATTAAAATGTAATAAAAAAAATATGGCAACAGGTACCAATAATAATTCCAAATCCCCCTATTTTCGTAACGAATGAACTCCACACCCCCAAAATAACCACCAACTTGAAAGAAAGAGAAAAAAGAGGAAAATCGTGGAAAGAGGGAGAAAAGGAAAAGAAGAAAAAAAAGGAAAAAAAGGGAAAAAAAATGGAAAAAAATGGGAAAAATGGAAAAATGAATAAACTCCGTGGAAAAAAATTTGAGAACCACTTGTAGAGGATCCAGAACAGCTGTCGTGTATGTACAGTGCATATAGCGCATTTTGTTAGATATTGGAGTCTCTCTCTCGACAGCAAGGTACGGTGAAAACGGCTAGGGTAGTTTGGAAAGGTATAGGACATTGAGTGTTGCATCTGCTGGGTTTTTCGGTTTGGTTTGTGTTGTTAGGTACACGCGCGTACACTTATGCTTTACCAGCCAGCAGGACGGCTGTTCCCTCAGACCCTCGGGGCCCTTCTGGGTTATTTGAGGGAGGGGAAACGTTTTCAAACCAGCCAAATCCCGATTTCCCGGTTTTCTCATGGGTCACAACCAGGTCACAGCAGTTACTATTATTTTTATTGCAAATGTATACAGATTTTTGTCATTCATATTCACCGACTGAAATCAGAACAAATAAAACTAGTTGAAAAAATTATGCACTCGAGGTTGGAGCAAGTACTTTTTTCAATGGTGAATACGGTTGTGCAGAGTTATCGGTGGATATCTCGGGAGGGGAGGGAGATAGGGTAATTTTTGTCATTAACTTTTTTGTAGAGCGATTTCGGGACTTGAAGAATGATTTTTTGGAAAATTTTGAGATTTTCAATACTTTGGGAGATATTCAACGGTTATTCGGGTGAGGCGAACGCTGTTATCTTAGTTTATACCGATTCTTCGTAGATTTTTTCTCGGATTTTGCTGGATATCTCGGAAATGGAGAGAGATAGGGAAATTTTTATAATTACCTTTTTTATAGAGCGATCTGTGACCTGACAAAAAGAATTTCATGAAAATTTCGATATCTTTTCTCGTTTAGAAGATATTCAGCGGTCATTCGTGTATGTCGAACGCATTCATTCTAGTTCACCGATTTTCCCGGATTTCGCTGGATATCTCGGAAATGCAGACAGATAAAGAAATTTTCATAATTACCTTTTTTGTAGAACGATCTGTGATCTAAAAAAAGGAATCTTATGAAAATTTCGATATCTTTTCTCGTTTAGAAGATATTCATCGGTTACTCGAGTAAGTAAAATACTCTGACCTTAGTTCCCCTATTCTTTCGATTTCTCGCAGGAAATCGTGAGAGACACCTGAAATTTATGTTATGCAAACATTCTCCAGACTGAAAACAGTATTTGGGTCAATTATAGTAGAAGAGAGGATATTTTTTAGGGGTAAATGAGAATGGAATGGGGTCATTTATGAATTGGCAAGAATAACTGGCCGTTGTCACTGCAATTATTGAAGTTGAAGTGGTGAACATACGCGTAACCAACGTGGGGCAGGTGGGCCCCAGCCCTCATGAAGATCCTCTTCAGTACTTCGTTTTGTAGTTAAAAATGTTTTTTTTTTTATTCTTTATTTTGTCGGAGGGAACGAGCCAACGAATCCGAGTGATTTCAGGAGACGCTTACCAGCTGTGAGGGATGCACACGTGAAAAATTATCCCCGTGTTATTACGTAAATGAAAAAAACACCAGTGTAATTGTCATTTTGCCGGTGTAATGCCTTTATTTATATGCAACAGATTGAAACGTTTGTAAATTTATAACGGGGGCACGGGATGAACAAAGAAAAATCGAGAGGAAGCTTTCAATTTTCTCAGAATGTTGTTGCCTCGTGTCCCTTTTTGCTACCCCTCAAATTTAGTATGTGTATGTGTACAAACTAATACCTTGGAACCTGGGGACAAGAAAATCCGATGACAATGGGACAAAGGGAATTTTCGACGGTATAAGGCCGGCTGCGTTGGGTACAATGTGCAGTGGGTAAAAACCCCTCTTTTCTTGTTCAAACTTGAAAGAAAGAAGAAAGAAATCGAGTTGAGACCAGCAAAAAATGGATTTAATAAATATTATTTCTTGACACTGATTTTTTAAAATTAATTCTTCATTTAAAAATGCGCGGGTAATTTTCGATTTTGTTTTTGTTGAACAAAGACAGAATTTTATTTCTCCAGGTGTTAATAATAATTTTTTTACGCGGAATTCCAGTGGCTTTTGAGAATTATTTAAATGCAGAACAACCGGAGGAAATTTAATTATGGAGTTGATGTTGATTTATTATTTCAATCTTACCGGAATCGTCGGTAAATATTTTGTTATGATTACGGGATAAAATATAATCCTCTTTTCGATTTAAATGGACAATAACCAGGAAAATGTAATTATCAAATTATTTCGAGTATGTAAACTTGAAGAATCGTCGATAAATATTCTGTTATAATTACAGCAGTAAATATATTCATCTGTTTAATTTAAATGAAGAATTATCAAAAAAAAAAAAAAAATCATCGAATTATGTCGATTTATGAGTGTAATCTTCACAGAACTGCCAATAAATATCAAATCATTATAATTACCAGAAGAAACTATAATCATCTGATTAAAGAGAAAAACTAGACGTTTGATTAAAATTACGAAAAAAAAGTAATTATCGAACCGTTCATTTGAATCTCGACAAAATTGTCAATTGAATATTCAATTATAATTACCGGAAGCACCTATAATCCCCTGGTTAGAGGTAAAAATCAACAGTTTGCCATTGATAAAAAAGATATGCCCATCGTGTAGTGGTGTTTTTTTTTTAGATCGAGATGTGCGTCCGCAGGCGCCGCCGGAAGTTGCGCACACAGGTAAACGGTTAACAGAATGGGTGCGCCATCCAATGTACTCACCTATTTTTCGCTTCACTGATAAAAATGAAAAACAATGATCGATAACTTGCAGGAGGTATAGAGCACTTGGTTATATTCACCATTTTATTATCCCCCAGCACCGAAATCATCATCAAAAAATAAATCATCGCATGCTAATAAATTATTAATGATTCCAACAACTGACCAATATTTATCCAATTAATTAATCTAATAGATTTGACCTGTCAATCTCCTAGTGTCACGAGTGCTCTTGTCCTTGGGAATTGTTAATATACGAAAATTGGAATTATGACAGCTGCTGGATGACTTATTGTTGTCTTCATGATCAGGTCTGATCGCATCTGATATCATACAGGATCTCCAGGATTTAAGAGATCATCAATGAAGTATTGATGTCAATGGGAAAATTCTCTGAACTATCAGCTGTGGATATTACAGAAGATTTTTATATCGTCTCTCGTAGGGAATGAACGCTGCAGTTACCACTGAAACAATGCATAATACACGGTACCTTTCACTTGTTACTCGTATTATCATCCCGGTTGAATAAAAAATTTGAAGGAAAGGGAAGAGGAAATATTGAGGTCCTGACGTATGTCTGGTAGAAAGTGGATAGTTCAGTTGAGATTGAGCTCGTGGTGAATGACCTAGTCGATTTTCCTCTGGAGTTTATTTGTCATGCACAATCTCCCGGCAAAGTGCAAATCAATATCTAACATAATCGATAATTGATTATTACCGAAATGATTGGATAAAGGAGGTGAGATCATTTGAAATCTGTGATTTGAATATCGAGGAATCGATCTAATAATCAACTAGGTGGAATCGATTCTCCGATTTTTTCACTTGTTCCAGAATTTTTTTGATTAATTGTAATTATTGATTTAGATCAGGAGTTCAGGGCAGCAGGAGATCAGATCATCGTCGAATCTGGAGAACAGGAAATAGAGGACAGATCGAGATTATTTCAGGAAATCGTTGTCATCCATGATTTTTTCCTTCCGCTTGATAATTAGCGCTTAATTAGGGGAATGATTTTGTAGAGTTGTTGAGACATTTTTGAATCGTCAGTTGAAATATTCGGAGAGAATGTGTTCTGGCACGTTGAGGGGCCCCAAACAGGCCGGACCGTTAGGAGAAAATAAAAAAATGGTACCAGTGGTTTTCTACTCATTGATTCTCGATCTACTCGCTTTTACAATGATCTTGCCACTGCTACCAGCTCTTCTGGATCATTACAAATATCATGATGACGGTGGGTTGTATTCATGGATTTTAAGAGGTATCGACAGGGTGCAGATTCGGCTCAATGCACCCGATAGATTCACCTCTGTTCTATTCGGGGGTAAGTCAATTTCAAATATATAATCCTCCTACTTCCCGATTTATCTTGAAAACTACCATTCCAGCAAAAAAACTGTAGAATAATTTTTTGCAGCTCACTAAATTCCCCGCAAAAACCGTCTTTTCACATTTTTTCCTTCAGCCAATAGTTTTTGAGATATCGACATTTATGAAGACTCCAAAAATCTTATCTCGATAAACACCAAGTCGACTAGTTCCTCAATTGACTTTCCGACGGATATCTCAGAATCTAAGACAGATATCGAAATTTTCAATAAGACTTGATTTTTAGAATAAATTGAGATCTGCAAAAAGTTCCCCACAAAAATTTCGCTATCTCTTTTCAATTCCGAGATATTCCTTAAAATCTTGCAACTTGACTGAATGAATTTGTCTCGTTGTGGAGTTATTTGAAATTTATTTGAAGGATTCATTGGATCGATGTACTCGTTCCTCCAATTTCTCAGCATGCCCATCGTCGGTGCCCTCTCAGATATCTACGGAAGGAGAATAATGATGCTGCTGTGCCTGACAGGTGTCACAGCCTCGTACCTCCTCTGGGCCCTGTCCCACAATTTCATGATTTTTGTCATTGCGAGGCTGGTGGGAGGCATCAGCAAGGGAAATATATCCTTATCGATGGCTATCATAACAGATGCAACATTACCAAGCAAACGAGGAAGATCTATGGTACATTTTTATGATTTATACATTATAATTAAATTTGTGTTAACGACATTTAAATTCCACCATTTCAGGCACTCGTGGGAATCGCATTCTCTATAGGATTCGTATTGGGCCCCATAATAGGCGTTCTGTTCTCCAGGATATCGAGTGGATCGAGGGACGACCACTGGTACGTCTATCCCGCCCTTTTTGCCTTCTCTCTTTCTCTGGTGAATCTACTGTACGTCGGCCTCTCCCTCGAGGAGACTCTGGAAGTTGATAAAAGATCCAAGTCCCTGGCTAGGGGACTCTCTGGGACTATTATGTACATTAATCCCGTGGATCTTTTCCAGTTCAATGGCGTTAATGGACTCGCAACTGATGGTCAGTAAATTAATGGCATCTATCATCCCTCGTGAATTCACGGATTATTTCATTTTGCAGATTTGAGGCGCCTCAGAACACTCGGACGCTCTTATTTTTTATATCTATTCATATACAGCGGCCTGGAATTCACTTTAACTTTTTTAACTCATCATGCTTTTGGATTCACCAGTATGCAGCAGGGATACATGTTCCTGGTGATAGGCTCGACGATGGCAACTCTTCAGGGCGGTTTTGTCAGGCGAATTCCCGCGGATAAAACAAAATTTTTCGCTGAATTTGTGAGTTATCTGGGCTGTTGGAATATTATAATTGGAGTTTCAAGTTTAAAAAATTGAAATTTTTAATTTTATTGATTGATCAATGGTTTTAATTTTCTATTTTCTATTTTTTTCAAGTCCTCATTGACGAATTGTTCGATTTAGTGAGTACTCTGGTAATTCTCTATCTTCTGGGGAATTTTAAAGAAATGAAAAAAAAATTTTGAATTATGTAATTTAATTTAACGAGGGAAAGTGATTTTTATCAATTTCCTCAGGTTTTTTTTCTGCAATCACGAAAAATAGATGATGATTATTCCTTATTGATTATTCCAGGGCCTCTGGCTGATAATTCCCGCTTTCGTTTTCATCGGGATTGCGGGGAATGTCGGTGTCCTCTACGTTGGAATATTTATTTTCTCAGTGTGTGGGTTGAAAAAGAAACAAACTGATATACGAGGAGATAATTTTAGGCTAGCGTTTAGTTATTCAAAAAACTTTCTTTTTGTTTTAGCAACGGCAATGGCTGTTACGTGCTTGTCGACATTGGTAACGCGAATTGGCCCTGAGCATCAGAAGGGCACAATCACCGGAATATTTAGGTCACTGGGAGCACTAGCACGTGCCAGTGGACCAATAATTGCGTCCATAGGTAATTTTCATTTCAAATTAATCCGATAAAATCCGACTCTAAGAAATCTAGAAACAAATATTCATCCAGAATTATCTCCCAATTTTCTGACTAATTATTACCTGAACATTCGTGAAAAATTGGGGGAATGCATTTTAAATTTTTGAAATTCAAGGATTTTTTCTGAATGGGGGATGCTGGGGTAATATGTTAGAATTATTAACATTAATTTATCTTTAAACAAACATTAATCAATTCATTAATTATTCGTAAATCAGTCGATTAGACTGTTGAATGGAATTCAAATTCGAATTGACGAAATTCTAAATTTACGACTTCCTTAAACAACGAAAAAGTTGAAAAAAAAAAAAACTATTCTTTTGAAAACATCGATTTGCCATTGAGTCGGATAATAATTAAATGATTTTCAACAAGGCGTTTATAATTTTGAATCGTCATGCTGTGATCTAAGAAAGATAATATTAATTAATTGCTACCATCTAAATTTATAATATTACCATTTACTTAAAAAACATCTCCATATTACCCCCTCTCCCCTAATTTGGAGAACAGATTGTTAATTATTTCAGGGAATTAGCCAATGGTTTTTTTCTGCTGAATTTCTTTGTTCTCGTTCTACCTTTTCTATATTTGAATTATTGATTATTGAAATTCTGATACAGCACGTTCTCGCATTTTCTTCTACCACCCACACCTTCATTTATCTTCACTCGGGATAATTAATTGTTGTACCACTCAGGTGACTAATTATTTTCTCTCGATTCTCTAGCCTTCTGGAGCATTGGAAGTACCGTAACGTATTTAATCGGAGCTGTGGTACTTGCTGTACCTCCATTGATACTTCACACTGTTAATAATGAAAATGATAAGAAGAAAAGTTGATGAGATTATTATTAGTATTAGGGACGAGTGTTCCCTCGAGTTTTTAAACAAAAAAACGGAACAGTTCAGTATTTTTTTTTCATTATATTTTTTCATCAATAAAAAACAGATTTTTCGTAATTACGTATCGTTAATTAATTCATTATATCCCTGGAGACGCATGCGCAGGGTAATTAATTCATCAATCAGATAGCAACAATCTCAAGTCCCTGTACTGTTCTATCCTGTTAAATACCGCCGACTGGTAAAAATTCTCACGTCTTCCTGGTATCACCACCCCCTATTCCCCCCTTTCACCCCTCACCATGAGTTAAAGAATTAAAAAAAAACATCGATCACGTGATGTCCCCGCACGCCAATTGGCCGGGGTGGACGTACGATTGACGACATGCAAGAGGATTATCCAAAATCGCTGATATTTCCCATCCCCACGATCCAATTCGTCCAATCCACCTCTCATCCTGATCCCGAGAAAAATCCCCCCAAAATACCCTCAAACCCCTCAAAAATCCACTCAGCCAATCGCGAGTTAAGGCAAATTCAACCCGCGAAACATCCGTATAGAAGTCAACGACAATTGAGAAATGCCGTTCTCCGATTATTCATATCTCAGGACTCAATTATGCTAATCGGACAAGCAAAGTTTCATTCGAAAGACGATAAAATTACCTTCAAATTGGTAAGACAATGGTGAAATTCCACTCAGCGGATCAGTCAGTTATTCACGATTAAAGTCATCACTAGCGCACCCACTCCCCTCCCTCACGCAGTGTTAATGCCAATAATAACAATAATATCCCCCGGTAGTTGAGAATTCTGAGAATTTCTCGATTGCGGAGTTCTCGATGGACGATGCCATTGGCAGGCCAGACATTGGCACTCGCCTCTCCGAGGAGGGGGCACTCAGTTCCTCTCGTGTACATTCGTGTTTCGTCAGTCGTCAACTAAAAAAAAGAGGGAAAACTTGCCTCTCATTTTCCTCAAGCCCCACCGAAGCGACTCACGGTACAAGTCAACCGATATTTTCCGGCCGATATTCAAAAAACCAAGAAAATCGATTGAAAGACAAAAAAAAATAAAGAAGGAAAATCGGTGCTTTTCACGGCCAAGAAAACGGATTATCACACGGAGAATTATAAAACAAATCGGCGAAACACATCTTCCGCCATTCTAGATTTCACGGTGTTGGGGAGAGAGACCCTTTCCAAGGTAAGAGATTATTTAACCGGGGGGTTATTGTTGGTGGATCGTTGGGCAGGTGCTGGTGGTTGGAAACTTGGGGATTCCGAGGGGTTAGGAAGGGATCGCCGATGTTTTGCGCATTATCGGTTGGCGTCCGGCATTTTTCGTTCTTCTTATTTTTCAGAAGATGGGATTTGTCATTTTTCCATCATTTCCATCATTTCCCTCATTTCCATCATTTCCCTCATTTCCATCATCTCCATCATTAATTAATTTCCATAATTTCCATAATTTCCATAATTTCCATCGAACAGATCAATCAACCCATCACATTTCCTTCGATTTTGACAATTATTCGCATCATTCATTAATAATTAATCCATTAATCCTGAACGTCTCACTTGAATTTTCTTTCTTTAATTTTTTTACGGAACGGGCACTGAGCACAGAGGTTATCTGTTCGTTTTTCCTCATGCTGATTGCTTGTCAGAGTAATAATGCTCGAGGGTGGAGATACAGTCTTGAACATCTGGGATCATTCAATTATTCTGCTGAGTCTAGAGGTTAGGGATTTTTCCCTCCTTTCAGCCACTCGATACGCCACACGATCCTCTAAATGACTCACGAAGACAGTGAGATAGGTTGATATTGAATTACACTGATTCCAGAATTTTCGCAATGTCTCTCTGGGCGAAGGCACAGCAGCTGCCTCAGGAGGCACTGCAGCAGGTGCGATCGGTGTACGGTGAGCACTTCCCCATCGAAGTGAGGCATTTTTTGTCGTCATGGATCGAGGAGAAGATGTGGTAAAAATCATGCTTCAATTAGTTTAAATTATCACCTTCAAACTGACACCTGATCTATTCAAATCACATGATAAATCGTGAATCATCATAATCAACTGACAATTATCATTTTTGAAATTTTAATTTCTCAGGCCGGACATAGAGCCAGACAATCCTCAATACGAGCAATACACAAGAGAACTCGTGAGTTCGCTGATCCAGGAATTGGAGACAAAAGCAGCATCTCTTCACACTGAAGATCTCTTTCTGACAAAGCTGAAGCTCATCGAGGCAGCAAAAACATTTCGCCAGCGTTACTCCCAGAATCCAGCGAATCTCTTCCGGATTATTCGCCACTGCCTGGGAACTGAGATGAAGCTCGTGGCACAGGTTGAAAATCTGGGTGGTGCCCTGATGAGTATGGCACACGGTAGAGTTGGTCTGATGGTGGGTGATGCAGTGGCAGAGATTGCCCAACAGGTTGAGGCACTTAGACGTAGAACACAGGAGACAGGTGAAGATCTCCGTAAGATGGAGCAGGAGCAGGAAGCATTTACCATAACCTATCACGAGTGTACAAAACTCAATGCCCACCTGCAGCAATTGGCGACCCATCCACAGAATCAGCAGAGTATAGAGGCTGAGAAGAAAATCAGTCGACAAAGGGAGCAACAGGAGCAGATGCTCAATCACAAACTTGCTAGTCTCATGCAGCTACGTTTTACCCTCGCTGATAAACTCAAGGACACCATCAGCCGACTCAGTAGCCTACAGTCACGTGTACTCGATGAGGAGCTCATAAGGTGGAAGAGGGATCAGCAATTGGCTGGTAATGGTGCACCTTTCAACTCGACTCTCGATTCTATTCAGGAGTGGTGTGAAAGTCTGGCTGAGCTCATCTGGCTCAATCGCCAGCAGATCAAAGAGGCCGAGAGGCTTAAGCAGAAATTCACCCTTAATCCAACAGGTATCCAGGATATATTTCCCGCTCTCAATTCCCAAATAACACAGCAATTGAGCTCTCTGGTCACCAGTACATTCATCATCGAGAAACAGCCACCCCAGGTGATGAAGACAAACACGAGATTCACGAGTACAGTGAGACTCCTGGTTGGGGGAAAGCTCAATGTTCATATGACACCACCTCAGGTTAAGGTGTCGATAATCAGTGAGGCGCAGGCGAATTCACTCCTGAAGAATGATAAAACGGCTAAGAGTGGTGATGCCAGTGGTGAAATTCTCAACAATACTGGTACCATGGAGTATCATCAGGCGACGAGACAGCTGTCTGTGAGCTTCAGGAATATGCAGCTCAAGAAAATCAAGAGGGCTGAGAAAAAGGGAACAGAGTCAGTGATGGATGAAAAATTCTCATTGCTCTTTCAGTCTCAATTCTCTGTAGGTGGGGGTGAACTTGTGTTCCAGGTATGGACACTGAGTCTTCCAGTGGTGGTGATTGTTCATGGTAATCAAGAGCCCCATGCCTGGGCAACTGTCACGTGGGACAATGCATTTGCTGAGCCTGGAAGAGTGCCATTTGCTGTTCCTGATAAAGTCCCCTGGTCCCAGGTGGCTGAGGCCCTCAATGTCAAATTCAGATCGGCCACTGGGAGATCTCTCATGGAGGACAATCTCCGATTTCTCGCTGAGAAAGCATTCAGGGGTGGTGGTGGTTGTATAACCAATCCTGGAGGCACTCCATCACCAAATGTATCAGGTCAGGAGCAGGATTACTCGAATCTACTCCTCAGTTGGGCTCAGTTCTGCAAGGAGCCACTGCCTGAGCGTAATTTTACGTTCTGGGAGTGGTTTTATGCTGTGATGAAACTCACGAGGGAGCATCTCAGGGGGCCATGGATTGATGGTTACATCCTGGGATTTGTCAGGAAGAAGCAGGCAGAAGAGATGCTGACGTCCTGCCCATCGGGAACTTTTCTCATGCGTTTTTCGGATTCTGAACTCGGTGGGGTGACTATCGCCTGGGTCGGCGATCAGTCCGAGGTGTTTATGCTACAGCCATTCACCAGCAAGGACTTTGCCATCAGGAGTCTGGCTGATAGGGTCTCTGATCTTCATCATCTACTTTATCTGTATCCTGATTTGTCGAAGGATCAGGCATTCTCAAAGTATTACACTCCATTCACTGAGAATCAGCCGACGTCTAATAATGGATATGTCAAGCCACTTCTTGTTACACATGTACCAGGATGGGGTGGACCTGGGGTCGGGGGACAGACTCCCTCTCACTCGTCTATCGTTGGGGTCGGTGGAGGGGGACAGGGGGGACATGGGGGCAGTTATCCAGCTACACCGTCTACCATGTTTCAAGCACACAGTCCTGATCCCTCTGTCACTAGGGATACACCGTCCGTTGCTTCGAGGTCAGTACCTTGGATGTAAAAAAAAAATATCGAAATCAATTTAATAAAAAATCAACAACTCGAGTTTTTAATGAATATCTATTGATCCAATAGAGATAGTGAAATTTTCGTTAAGACTTATTTTGCAGGCGGGGAGAAGAGCTGCAAAAAAGGTATCCACAAAAATTTCGCTATCTCCCACAGATCTTGAAATATTCCTTGAAAAATCAGTGGCGAAATGGTAAACTGGGATAGGGGCATGTTTTTTTCAGATCAGTTTTCTGTCTATATCTCGGAATTGGTGGTACATAGAGAATTTTCTGTATGAATATTTTTTATAGAAAAGAATGAGAGGTATGAAAAAGGTATCTATGAAAATATCGTTATCTTCCTTCATTCTCGAGATATTGCCGAAAAACTGGCCACGATAAAATGACTTTGTCCTAGTTACCCACATCGCAGAAATTACACTTAATCTTTCCGAAAATCAAAGATGAATTTTTATACGGCAATGATTTTGGATATTTTTATTTTTGATTTATTTACTCGAAGCACTTGCTCTTTTACGCCAAGTATTTTTCGAACAATTATTTTACGTTGATCTGTAAGTAAAAGAGTTTACACCGGTGCATCTACTGCTTCTATTTTAAAAAGAAAACGTACTTTTAATACGTTCTGTACTCGCCCAGTGATACATTATGCGTTAAGTATTATAGTTGGTCAATGCGAATATACATTAGCTTTATATTTGATACGTTTTCTACTTGCATATATATTCAGTAATAACTGATTGCAAACCAATGAGTTTGAGGCGAGTGAGTTTGCATTGTATTTTAATTGTCATTCGGCAAATTTTATTGGGTCATGCGAGAATTTTTTTCAACGTCAAAACTGCCCGAGTCCATTCCCATTATCTTTGCATTTTAAAATAGAAAAGAAAGTGGTGCTGTTTCAATCGCTAAGAAAAAAATGCTTGCAATCCCTTCCGTCCTTTTTGTAACAAACATCAATCCATAACGATAAATCGTCAATAAGTGGTCCAGTATTAAATAAATAAAGAAATCCTCGTATCAGCTGTGAGTAGCTGCACGAATGTTTTAATAATAATGCAAAGGCCTGGAGCAAGCCGGTACAACCACATCATAAAGCCTGGTGTTTATTTATTCGCTTTGAAACAAAACGCAACTCCAATTGGATCCATCAACTGGCAAATTAATCGATCATACTCGTCAACAGGATTAATTAATATAATTAACACTAACCAAGAACAAAACATCGCACGCGCTCTTTAGGTTCTTTCCATTAAACTGAAGTCGATAATTTAAACAAAAAAATGAAAAACATAAAATTAATACAGTAATGAACAGGTGAAACAGAATATCTCCGAATCTGTGATAGGTGCAGAAGTTTTTATTGAATCTTTTCTGTAGAGGATGAAGAGAGCCACAAGAAAGGTCCAGTAAATATTTTAGCAGCTTTGTTACGTGGAGAAAATTGATACAGAGTTGAGATAGAGTTTGATCTGTGCAGAACTGATGAATCTTTTATTTTTGAAAATAGTCAAGTAATTTAGGAATAAATCATGTGGTTGTTTGCTGCGCTTTGGGCGTGTTGTATCGGCTCTTCCGGCAAGTTTTGATAGATTCACAGGACAACAGATGTTTGTTTAGTTTAAAGTGATAATCTTTGTTGTTACATTGATTGTGATTTTGAGAATGGCCAGTGATTGGGGTTGTGTTTTGTTTTATGATAGCTATGCTCCGGGCCTTGGTCAGTCGGGTGGTGGTCGACCAAGTGACATGGACTACGTGGATTTGATGACACACGGTGAACTCGGATCGATCGATGAAAATCTCAACCTGGATCAGCTCAATGGATTCGGCTTTCCCGACTTTATGCCGAATTACAAGCCCCAGTAGGTATGTCATAAGCAATAGCGAGCCGATTTTTCAGGAGTTAATACCGATATCTTATCATTTTTTAAAGTTTTTTTTTATCAATTCATGAGAAATAGTTGATTAAGGAAATTTCACAACCGGATATCGCCAAAATTCACGTTTTTTTCATTTTTTCCTCATCATCGATGGGATTTTTAAAAAATATAACATTTCTGCGTTTTGTTATTGTTTAATTGAAATTTTGTTGGTGCGATAATTTTCAGGCATTTTCTCTGCAGTTTTGGGAATATTTTTAAAAGTCTAGAAAAAAAGTAGAAAATTATTCGCACCACCTTGAAGCTTCGTGAGTCATTAAATATTGACGGAATGCTGTAACGTTATATTTTTTTGCGTCAATCCCATACCAAATTTGCCAGAAAAATGAAAAAACTGATTTTGGCTGTATATGGCTGTAGAACACCCTTAAATTCACCTGAAAAAATATACCGTTTGTATATTTTATTTTTGTTCGATGTCTGACGAAATTTCAAGGAAAAACTTTCCTGCGTTATCCACGAACTTTTGGAAAAATTCCCAAAAAATTAGAACAATAAAGACATGACCGAGAATTAGTGGGTAATTGAATAATGATAAAACATAAAAACGGCGTATCTTTGACAAATTGTAAAAATAAAAAGATATCGGGAATAAATCCTTAAAGGGTCATTGAGCTGAGGGAATAATTTCGCATGGAATTGAAATATTTTTTTTCCTCAAACAGGGAGAAGTCTCCCCTTTTTTCGATGCACAGAATAGTACGTGATAATATAGTTAACAAGAGGTTATTGATGTAATTATTGTAAACGCATTTGATGGATGCAGACATATTTACATATTTTTGATGACTGTTTAAATTTAAGAGTTTAAGGTGGATTGGGTGGGAAAGTAGTGGATGACGAGCTGAAGAGTTGAAGATTGAAATTGAGTGAGGATTATTGAGGTGATAAGGGGGAAAATGCCAGAGGATTATCCGATTACGTTTTTTTTTTCCACGAATTTTTTCAACATTTGAAACAAGATCTCGTCCAAATCGCACCATTTGGCCTCGAGGTACTCGATTATTTTAATTCCTTGATTTAATACTGTTTCCCCCAAGTGCAATGACAAAATTAAGTGCTTTTGTTACTTGTTAAATATCTATTTCATTGTATTTATATAGTTGATTTATATTTTCCACATTTAAGGAGTATATTAAGTACAACTCAAAGTAGAGTAACAAAAAAGATGATGTAGCGAAAGATAATCCCACACCGTTGCTCTTCAATTATCACTATTTCGTAACGAGTGTCAATCACATTTTAGCGTCCCAAAGGATAGTATACTACACAATCTACCCTAAGAAACAATAATTAATTATCCCATTGCTTACTCATAACACCGTAGCCCTAGGTTAAGTAACTTCATTTACGATGTAGAAGTTCATCCTTATTTTCCAACGAATTCTTCTCGAATCATTTATCATTTTATCCCCCAACCCCAGAAACATTTATTTTTATCAAATAAGTGATTTATATTTTATGCGCCTAGAAATGCTGAGACCATGTTTTAATGATGAGACTCGATGTCTGGATGTATTTTAATTCAACGTCTAGATGTTTTGAGACATTGAGCATAAACCGACGTAATCCTTAGTCACCAGGGTGCCTTAGATTAAAGATTTAGCTTACGGTGGAGTAATGCAGAGAGTGGAATATTTGTTGGTATTGTATAAAAGAGTTGAAGCATTCTTATCCCTTGCTATCCTCTTAAATAATGGTATCGTTATTATTTTATAACAACTAATTTCGCGTTGCTATGATCCATTAAGGCCTGTAAATAATCAATGAGGGGCTAATGGGACGAAAGAATGTTCCAATAATCTTTTCGCCAATTACACTATTGTATTTTAAGTTTTTCTGCGACGAATCGAGTTGCAATAGATTTTAATTGACATTTTGATGATTTTGGTGACGAGTGATCATCGCCATTGTAAACTAACTTTGTGATTATTATTTTTTTTTCTCTTATTTTTCTCGTGGATTAATTACGGTGGTTGTACGATGTTGATGATGTATCATTGCTCGCAATGTAATTATGTTACTAAGAAGGATTAAAGAAATATTCACTGCTATTTGATTTTTTTTTGGGTTTTGGTGGTTTATTTTTATTGTTGGAGGTCGGGGGCTGGAGTGCAACTCTCTGGGGCATCGCACTCCTCGATGAATTCACCAGGAGGTGGAAAACTGTTTAGATACGTGGATTCTCCTTGCATACGGCTTGTTGGCGTCTGGTATTTCACCTTTTGAGCCCATGGGAGAGAGGCTTTTGGCTCCAGATTCCAGGTCTTGAAGGAGAGCTTATTTACTGTGTCCGTGTCTAGTTTGGACGTTGGTCTAGGGGTGAAAGGGGTTCATAGGTCATTTTATAATTTTCTAGTGTTGGAAATTGAGACAAAATTACATTTAAATGGTTTAAATTGGTAATTAATTGATTAATTACATATTATAACGAGCCAGAGGTTTGAAGCTCTCCAGAGGTGTCACCCTTCCCGGATTCATGTACGAGAATTGTGACGTCGTCGAGGCCTCGAGTGGAGCTTTGGAATTATGAATATTATCACAGGGAACAATCGCTGAGGGCTTATCAGTAATTTTCGGCCCGAAATCATCGCGATTGGTGGTATTCGAGGGGATTGGTCCTTCAGCACTCAGGATGCTCCTCTCCTTGGGACGGATGGGGTTGCGTTTCTCACAATTTACCACTTGATAGCTCAACTGTAAGTCATACAAGAATAATTCTAATCCCTTGTCATTACCATTTATATATTTATTCAGCATAAATTATAATTATGTACTTGTGATGTTGTGTGATGTGCCATTTTTTGATCGGATAGTGCGATATTTTTGCAGGGAATTATCGGTGCTACGCGTTCATTCCTGTGGGGCACGAAGATCTCGCTGTAATGGGTATTTCCCCTGAAGATTGCGTCGTCCCCTTGGATCAGGTTTTTATTTCCAACCGGGACAATTGGCTTTTCTCTCATGGGAACGTTGGATTCCGTCAAAAAGCTGTTCGAGTACGTGGTGCAGGCGTCCATCGCGACATTCGATCGGCTATCAGATAAAAATCGATTTAAATCGATGAATATCGTTCAATAAAAAATTTTTCGCCTATATCTCCAAATCCACGTGAGCTACCGAAATTTTCGTGAGAACATTTTTTGCAGGGCTCGTCGGGTTCCACAAAAAAGGTCCAGAGAAGAAATCCCCTATCTCCTCTGGATTTGGAGATGCTTATCGAAAACCGTTGACATACGTGTATTTAGGTTTTTGGGCCCAAGGGTGGAACTCCCTCGGGAGAACTTGGACCGGTGGATAACTCAATTTGGTGGTCGTCTCATTCGAGAGCTTCTGTTCGGGTTCGCAGTATTTGTTGATCGGTTTGAAGCTCTGGATTTGGTCGACGGGTCCTGGAGCAAGATAGGAAAATCCGCTGGTTGTTTCACCGTCGAAACGAGCCCGGGACGTTCTTATATTTCCGCAGGGAATTATCAGCTGGGCTTTGTCAATGTATTTCTCGCAGAAGTCCTGCTTGACAGTCGTCGTCGTCTGCATGGGACCCTCGAACATGTTCCGCCTTTTAATTTAATCCAGAATTTTAATCGAATGGCAAATTTCTCTCGTTTATTACTCGTTTTCATATTATATATTAATATAATTATATATTATTATTATTATTATATCGTAATTTTCAGGAGAATCATCCTGAATTTCCTCTTATAAATATTCAACAATTTAATGCGTGTAATGCAATTTTTCATGTATTTAATGATATATATAATAAATAGGTTTATTTATATATTTAATTGTATGCATATAATATTGATATAAATAAATATATAAATAATAGGATATGAAGATTATGATAGAATTTAGGTGCAATAGATCGGCGACAGATTTCTTTTCATAATTTTTTTGTTACATTTTTTATTAGAAAAAATGAGGAATTATTATAATTAGGAGATAATTAGATGGAGACCTTGGGAGGGGGACCACAGGCTTTGCCTTAACCACTTCCCACACGGGTTTATAACTCATCCGGGATGTGGTGCCATCGTGAAATCTCTCGTTAGACGTATGTAAATTTTCAGACGGTCGAATTGGGGCTAATCTCGAGTACTTATCGCTCTTGTTGTTCAGGTAAGACGTATGATACGTTGTTGTCGTGTCGAGAGTCACTTCCGGAGGACAAAACGATCGTTTCGGGGCGAAAGATTGAACACGCGGGGGCTGAATGTAATAACTCCTGCATTTTGCACCCTGTCGTGTATTTTAATAGAATGGATTTAATATAATAATTTTATATTTCAATTTTTTGCATTAGAAAAGGAAATGACAGCGAGGAAACATCAAGCGGTGATGAGGAATTAATTAATTTTTTCTCGTTTACGTTGAGAAATTGCAAATTTAGTTTTATGTGATTCGAATTCATTTTTTTTTTAATTTCATTTTTTAATCTGGATAAATACTCGCGAAATTTTGAAAACTACTGGTTTATTTAAATTTGGAAATATTGACCAAGAGTTTGTGAATAAATAATTATTTATTTGTAATTATCTCATTTTTTAAAGAAATGTCAGAAGAATTGTAAAATATCCTGGACTCACAGGACGTGGGGCTGGACATCCTTTCGACCGATAATAGGGAGTACTCGATTTTTCCTGGACTTTCGTGCAGACGGGATGAACTTCCATCCTCAATAGTCAATAATAAACAATCAGTTAGTTATAAAAAAATAAAATTTATCAAAATTGGGAGATTGACAGAATGCGCGAATGGAGGAGAAATTAGACGAAACAATCTGCAGTCGTTTTTTTTTCAAATCGATATTGTCGTGTTCCAGAGGAAATCAGTGCCTCGTGTCATCATCTTTAAATATTTATTCAAATGCTGGTAATAACTGTAACAATAATAATAATTGGCACAAACAATTCTACAATAGTACATGTGACTGAAAAAATACATATTTCTGTATCAGGATTCTACTTGTTTTGTTTGTGTCCTTCTCATTATTCAATTTGTATACAAATATCTATATTCCGTGTATAATCCCATCGAGTGAATAGGCATTTGTTCAACATGTATACAATTTTTACACCACAGAATTTATCAGTCCCAATTGAAAATTAATATTTAAAACAATAAACTCACTTAGATAATGGGGGAGTAGGAAGAAGAGGGCATTATCATTAAAGTCGTATTACAAATAATTTTACCATCTGCTTGTATTCATCTCGTCATTCAACTTTCAACTGTATTATGACTGTTTCATTAGTAAGTATTGTGTTATATTTATAATTGTTCCATTGGTCAGGGGGTGATTCAACACCAAGAGAAGAAGGGGCTTTTGTTCTGGAAGCGCTGAGTGAATGTATCAGAAAAGGAGAATAATTTTGGCGTTCCATTGCCTTTCGCTCTGTGAATAAAGCAAATTAGGAATTAAAAATAAATTATTCAACAGCTCCAAACGGATTCGAGAAGAATCCATAAAAAAAACTCACTTTTCTACGATAACAGCGGGCATTTGCACCAGTTGCACTGGACTCTTGGCGTCTTTGAGTGCCTGTTGTAGATTCAATATTTGCCCTCTCATCACACTCATTTGCCTGTCGAAGTAATGTTTGTCGAAGCCCTTGTCTTGCTGCAATGAATGGTAATAAGACATTAATTAAAACTTTTTTTAATTCCAAGTATAAGACTGCCGTTCAACTTCAATAAAAATGTTTAAAAAACGGAAAAAATAATTCAGTGCAATCCTGAAATATTTGGAGGAGTACCTTGAACAGCTGATACAGGTCATCACAGAGATCTTGTACGAAATTCTGATCAGAGAGCTGTGGCAAGACGAGTTCCCTGGTGGTTTCGCTGAATGGCAATTTAGCTTGACTGAGCCATGCCCAGTGATAAGGATATGCCCTCCAGGAGTCAGGATGCTTGAACGGAAAAGCCAGGCCATTGTCGATAGCAGCGATGTGCACCTCAGCTACCTCGAGTGAGTTTTTAGCAACAGCTGGATCATACTGTATCAACCAGTTGTCATTACCCCTGTCTGTGTTCCTGATTATGTAATCGAGAATGACAAGCCTCTCAAACTGCAGCTGAAAGTCCCTGGCTAGTCTCGTGGGTAGTGGATCGTTCTCCCACCTCCTGAGCCAGTAGTCAGCGTCTTTGTAGCTGTCCATGAACAGCTGGAATGATCCTATCTTGGGAGGAAGTCCCAGTCTCTTGAATTGAGAACCAACAGCCGGAAATTGGTCCATTATCACCTGCTTCATCCTCGCCTTTTGCCTGTCTATGCGAGGATAATTGAACGTCTTACTGACAAGCTTGACAACTCGTGTATTTGGAACAATACCCAGACCCAATTTACGATCGACTAGACTCGCCCCAGCTTCACTCAGATAACCCTGATTTGGAATTAAACAGCTACGACCAAAACAACAGGGACAGCACAATTTGTGCATCCACTTGGTCCATTTGGGATTCAATCTGCCATAAGGCTCCTCATCTTTGGGTTTGAAGACCGCTATTATTTTCTGGGGAATAGAAAATTCAACATTGCTGGAAAAATTAGGATTAAATTAGAATAATTAGGAATAATCCAAGAAATTCCACTTACACCCGCGTTATTTTTCACAAAATAACTTCCACTGGAACCCTGATATATTCTCTCTGGGTAGATGCCATTGTCGATGGCACACTCAGCCTGCCAGACCAGCTCCGAGAACTGAGGATCATCTGAAATCAAGCAAAGTCATTGAAAACTCCTGATCTACACCCAGAACTATTAAAATTGCTTCAGCAATGTTTTTTTTTGTAGTTGTCTTGTGGATGAAGAAATAGCATACATTGAATTAATTTGATTAAATTACCTGGAAATCTATTGAACGTAACGTCAAGCTCGAGTCGACCAAGGAGAGGCTGACTCTCCCGGTCAATTCCAGGTGAATCAATGATTGCTGTGTCGATACCACAATTGGGTGCAAACTCGATATCTGGTACTGTTAATTCCAAATCGTTGATATTAGACTGTACAAATAAAGCTGGATTAACTCCAGACGTTTGATTAACTTGACTCGATGTCGATAAATCCACTAGGGCATCAGTCTCCACCAGGGCAACCTGGTTCCTCGTATTATTCAGACTTTGACTGTGATATTCACGGTAAGGCACGTGCAACTGGCGTTGTTCTGAGTCACTCATCACAGTGATTTAATTATTTGGAATAGCTGTCGATTGAATATTAATCATTCATCACTCTCGTGTCTCGGTGATCTGTATGAAATTTTTTATGGTGATTTTGTGGATCCGTGGGGATGATCCAGGAATTATTTCACTTGGTGAATAAAGATTCATATGGAAATGGGCTAGGTTATGAGACTGATACTGCGAAATTTATCAGATATTTGGATCGAGCCACATCGAACTGTCTGGATGTTTATAATCGATTAAACACGTCATTCTACGCACTGGTTATTTGTGATTATGTGCATGATGTCTTCTAGGTGTGTAAAATGGTTATTAATTTTTTATTCAACCACTTTTTTGGAGGCGGACACTTATGGGAGCTGGCAGGTGATAGATTTTGACATCTGGGGTATCAGCTGCAGCTGGTGTTGGCGTTTGGCGAACGGTGGGAGGTGGAGAGGGGGAGGGGCGGGTTTTTGAGCTGAAAATAATGGAGTCTTTTTTATCGACTTGGGATTTCAATAAAAATATACTAATTTTAAAAAAGTATCAACAAAAAAAATGGTCAGATAATGAAGAATTAACTGAATTTTTTTTTTATAGATCATCAATATTTTTTGGTTTTCTTTTTGGTTATGAAATTAAGAATTTGATCTCATGTCAGTCGGATAAATTAGATTGCATTTCAAAATTTGTAGAAATTCCTGTCAAATGGACAAAATTGGTCATTCAGTTGGATTAAAAAACACTGGAGAATAAATAATGATTTGTTGTGTTGTTTTTGCCAATTTTGAGTGAGGGAACTGCGCATGTGCAGACCTGCCGGCGCTGTGATTTTCTATTGTAATCAATTTGTATTGTTTTTCTAATTTTCGTAATAATAAAGGCACGACAATCTGTCAAGAGATATCAAAGATTTTCGTTACCAAAAAATCGAATTGAAAAACCGAAAATCCAGTCGGTGGATTTTTGATATCATATTTGTTTATTTGATTCTTTGGACATAACCTGTATCATAAACACTGAAATATTTATTTACCCGTTGTCCAGAGGTAAGAGATTAATTAAATTGAAAAGGAAAAAATCGAAAATCAAGGGATTTTTGAAGAAGTGGCAATTTGTCTGCCTCCAGGCCATCGTCACCTGACAAAAAAAAATGAACGATCATACGACCCTGAAACGTCCAAAACCTGAGGATGACGAGGAAGAGCTCTTCCGGATGCAGGAGGAATTCCTGCAATCCCATGAGACACCTTCTGCCAAGGTGATAAATCTACGATCTAAAAATTCCCACCCTCGGAAATTTATATCTAAATTCGCGGAGCGAAGAGGAAAACGTGAAAAATCCAAAATCTCGACCTCCCATTCATCTGGAGACGTCATCAACCCCTCCTTCAACGAGGAAATGACTGGAGACGACCTGGACCCAGTGGAGAACATGTCAGCCTCCAAAATCATCCTGGGAAACATAATCGAGAAGAAATTCACAGCTCCCTGCCTGAAATCCCCACAAATCGCCGAGTCGACGGGTTTCCCCGAGGTCTTCCTGGTGGCCAAAATCCCCGAGACCGATCCCTCCAGCAGTCTTTTCCACCGGAACATCCAGTCCTCATCATCCATTGGAGCTACTGCTCCAAATACTGAGGAATCAAAGAGTCTGCTGGTGGAGGGTCCACTGTCCTCAGAAATCCACAAAGAGAACCTAGAGAAGCTGAACAGAATGACACAGGAGGAGATCCTCCAGGAGAAGGCTCATCTGGAGAGTTTACTGAGTCCAGAGCTCATAGAATTCATAAAAGCAAAGAAGAGTGCTTCACAGAAATTCGGAAATTCTTTAAAAACTCCAGTAAATCCCTCCGCGAGTAATCCTGACTCTAGAATTCCCTGTCCGGCAGTGGATGAAATCCAGGAAGCAGTGAGTCCCTCGCCTGAGGTCTCGAACTTACTGGAGGAAGCCTCCACCCACCAGTGGCTCAACATGTCAACTCTGGAATCACCAAAACTCGAGTGGATGAAGGACCTAGAGCCTGACAAATGCCCACAGGTCTCTGAGAACGAGCCTTACACAGCTCGATTCTCCTTCGAGGGTGAGCTACTTCCTTACAATGACCCCTCAATCTCGATGGACCGAGGCCTGCACCACCACGGAGAGGATCCAAGTCGTCCTGGCTACTCCATCCCAGAGCTCCTGCAATTATCTCGTTCCTCTCAACAGCAGCAGCGCTGCGTCGCCCTGACTACCATCTCTAAAATCCTCGATAAAACCAGAAACGGATGGTACGACAAGGCCCTGGAGCCTGCCCCCTTGATAGCCCTGAACTCCAAGAACATTCTGCTCCTGTTGAGATTCTCCCTAGATGACAGTGCAGTGGCTGTTTTAACGGCATCACTGCAGGCCCTGAGGTCGTTCCTCTACAGCGAAACCGAGGAGTTTTGCCTGGACAGATGCTTCAGCTGGAGATGCGAGGTCGGAGGGTACCTGGTACCCGAGATGCTGCCGAAAGTCGATGAAGTGGACATGAGCAGTCTGAAAGACCACGAATTGGCACAGATAGACTGCGTATCAGCAGCTGTGAGGTCTCAGATTCTCGTGAGACTGAGTTACATCCTTGGTTTTTACACCCGGAAAGAGAAGTCCCCACCTGAATGGTCAGTGGCAGCCCTGGAGATTCTCACAAGGATCTCTAGACACTCGAGGATAATTGCTTTGAATGTGGCCTCTACCCCAAATCTCTTATCCATCATCATGAAACACTTTCTACCTCTCGAAGAAGATGCATTGCCGTCCAGAGAATCTCTGAACTCACTCACCAGTCCAACCGTCAAAGCCCTTCATCTCTTTCGAGTTCTGGTGGAGTACGGGGGCAGACCAGTGGCAGATCGACTTCAGCAATTGAAAATTGTCGATCGTCTCTTGTGCTATACCACCCAGAAGTCTCGGATGGCATCCCTGTGGCTCTCCATCGAGTCCTTCCGTCTCTGGAAGACACTCCTGGACAACGGACTTCCTCTAGAAACCGTCAATGGAAATGCATACGACCTTGCCTGCCAGCTACGATATGTCTTCAGTAACCACGACATCTCAGGCTCTGAATTGTCGTCAGAGTTGGCTGCAGGACTGGTTGGAGTCTCCAGTTACGGAGAGGAATTCGAGCCTATCCTGATTATGTTGCTCGAGAAGTGGAGTACGCAGTTAGGAACTTCTAACATCACCTGGGGAAATACTAAATTAATCGCCACCACTTTAGCTTGTGTGAAAGACTCTAGTTCCTTCAAACTCGATTGGATAAATAATCCAAAGATTTTCAGGGATATAATTTCATCTTCTAACGTCCTCAGTGGCCTTCAGGCTGCCTCGAGAGATCCTGAGGCTCTACCCTCCTTGAGTGCTGTCCTAGAAGAGGGGAAGGTGGTGCCAGTCCTGTCATCCTGCTTCCATTTTTACTCGACTGTCATTAATCACTTCTCCAAACACTGCATGCTCGACGAATTGAAAGCCATCCTGAATAACCCAGACGTCATGGAGTACCTGAAAAGAGCTAACAGCTGTTCCTGGTCCCTAGTGAACAACTGGTTCACCAGATTAGAGCTGTACTTCCTCGCAGGAGTCGTCGAAGCCTCTCAAAATGTTTCCACTGAGTTACCCCCAGAGGTGTACCGGAGAATAGCCATAAAACTCCTCCCGGCGATTCCGGGAGATTGTCCAGAGCTAGCAAAGTCCGTCCTGAAGATGCTCCTGTCCGACAACAGACTAAACATCGCCGGACTGTCCCAGGGTATGACGTCCCTCAAACTAGAGGATACCGGAAAAAATTCATGCCTCCTGGACAACGTCTCAGTGATCTACGATGAGTTTATCTCTCCCGGAAGTTGGAACCAGCCTGTCCTCCCGAGGGACTGGGTATATCTTCCCCTGGTGGCATCGTACACCCGTCACAAAGAGGAGTCCAAGTGGACGGAGGAGGATACCCTGAGGATCGTTATCCTCCTCACTCTCGAAGTGACTCTACCCGAATTATTCGTCGATCTCTCCCCGACCCTCAGATTCTCCAGACTCGTCCTCATCTACCTCTGCGACACTCTACACCTGGACGAGAACGTCAAGATCCTCCTCCAGAAAATGATTCCAAAATTCTTGAAGGAATTTCATAAGTGTTTGAACTTTTCCAGTGACATCCCCGGAGTGAATTCGTTCCCCGATTTATTTACAGCCCTCTGCGAGGGCTTCTGCGCCAATTCCTACGGTGACGATGGATTTGCTATGGTTTTGATGGCACCAATTGCCCAGAGGCACGACAAATACTACAGGAAAATCCTGTGGTCAGAGCACGCCGGGGCCCTCAGGTACATCAGGCTGCGTCCTGAGGCCCTCCCTTTCCCCGTCGACGAGTACCTATTCCCTGAAGAGGAAGACTGCAGCCTCATCGAGGGGTACATCACCGCCCTCGTCAGAGGAACTGTAAAAAAAGAGTTTAGCCCTCTGATGTATCTCATCGCGTTGCAACACTCTGTCGCTTTCCTCCAGGGGGAGTCCGACCTCTCGAGGAAGATGAGAGAGAGAATTCATCTGGTTAATGATAAAGAACTTGTGGAGAAACTCCTGGGGGAGACCTAATCGATATTTTTTTAGATTATTCATTGATAATTATTGATGAATTACAGCCTGAGGAGTGAATGGGTATTTTTAAATGTTTGCTGTTCACCTTCTGCATTGTGAAGAGAAGATTCAACTCGATTGACTAGACATAATGGGTTCCTCGGGGCGGGAATTACTCCTCGAGTGCACCAGACAACTTTAAAAATACAATTTTCATGTGAAACGATGCAGAGGGATTTAAGAGGATTTCCCTTGAGCAATTGAAATATTTTTCGTTTATTTTCGTATACTCTTTATTCACGTATTCACATAATCCTTGAACATATGTTAATCCCTGTTAAACATGAATGTTTATGAACATAATGAATACAAAAAATACAAACGATATCTCTTATTCATATTTATATCGGTTTACAAAAATTATTTTAAGCATAAAAAGAGGCACTAGGTGGTCGGCTCGCTCGAGCTTTCGGCTCATCAGCGCTACAAGCGAGTGACAAATTGATAAATTCTGTTATAACACCTTGGAGGATGTCCTGGAGATGATGGAGGTGGAACTCCAGGAGTTATCTCATTTTTTTCAGTTATTTCCCGTTCCTTTTGGATTGGGATTTTAGTCGTTTTTTTACAGTAGTATTTTTATAATTTCCTGGGATGCTCTCGGGCCCAAGAACCCCAAGCCCAAACCCCGGGTCATCCTCTGCAGAATTAATCTCCACGTAATTTCAATTGACTCGATCTCACTGTTATCTTTATCAATATCGATATGTTAATAACATTTATACATTGATGGACGATAATCTTGAATAGGGAACACAACTTTCTCAGAATTGGGTCATGGTACAGGGGAAATGTTCAGCCAGGATATCAATGTTCCTTATGTACCCGTTGGTGACGGTATATGCAGGATACATATGTCGGAAAAATGTATTCACATCGATTGCACGACAGTAACAGCACGAGAGAAAGAGGAGAAGTCACGTCACGGAAAAAATTGCGATCTGGAAAATTCTCGGCAATTCTTTCGATTTCGATTTTTCTCGAGACTAGTCATTTTAATTTATCCGTTCCTTCTATTTTTTCGTCGCTAGAGTTGAATGAATTTTCTTGCTTCCTGGAATTGTTTGCAAAAATTAATTCGAGTTTATATTTAATTAATTATAAACTCGAATCCAATTTTGCATGCAATTGCGAAAAGTAAAAAATTAAGTTTAATTCGTTACAATTTTAATTGATTATTAATTAATTGAGATTCTGATTCCTCTGGGCGTGTCTTTCAAGCGATTTTCCACCACTGATTTCCTGAGAAAAATTTCGTTCTGGAAAATCTCGGGTTTTTCTTTCGATTTCGATCTCTTTATTTTCGCAATTTAAATTTATTAATTCAATCTCTTCGTTCCTACAATTGAATAATTTTCCTTTTCCGCAATTGTTTGCAATATTGACTGAGATTCTGTAATTAATTAATGATCAGATTCTTGTAAACGTCATCCAACGAAATTTCCACCATTGATTTTCCGAGAAAAACTGCGGTATTGAACATGCCGGATTTTTCTTTCGATTTCAATTTCTCCCTCCATTACCACAATTTATTTATTTTCTTTTCTTTCCTCAGTTATTTGCAAAATCTCATGAGATTTTATAATTAATTATTGACCAGATTCTTGTAAACGCCATCCACCAAATTTTCCACCATTTATTTTCCGAGAAAAACCGCGGTATTGAAAATTCCGGATTTTTCTTTCGATTTCAATTTCTCCCTCCATTACCACAATTTATTTATTTCCATTTATTTCCTCAGATATTTGCAAAATCTCATGAGATTTTATAATTAATTAATGACCAGATTCTTGCAAACGCTATCCAACGAAATTTCCACCACTGATTTTCCGAGAAAAACTGCGGTATTGAAAATTCCGGATTTTTCTTTCGATTTAAATTTCCCCCTATTACCACAATTAATTTATTCCTCTTCTTTTCCCAATTGTTTGCAGAATAGAATGATATTTTGAAATAATAACCGATGATATCGTCGTGTACGTGCCCTCAGGTGAATTTCCACCACTGACTTTCGAATGAAAAAATTTTTTCAGGGGATTCCGGGGTCCTGGGTTCGTTGGTCGAATGCTAAGATTCAATTCCGAGTTTTCGATAGGTCTCTTTGTCCACTGTAACAAGTCTTCCCTCGACACTTGAGCAGTCGAGCTCGATGCAGTGCAATCTGGAGCCCCATTCGCAGTGGCTGTGGTCATCGGGTTTGTAATACTTTATCTGGAGGCAGGTGGTGAGGTACCCCGAGGCAAGTACACGCATTGCAATTGGCAATTCCTCCCGATGACCACGTGCACTCGGTGTCACATCCTTTGTGCTGTAATAAGTGCTGTAAGCGCAAGCTGTACCATCCCGGGCGCGTTCTATCGCCTCCACCGGTTTACCACCGATACTCAGCGATCTGAAAGTCCAAATGCCCCATTACCTCATTATTATTATTCATTTAACATCTACTCAAGAATTAATCCTTGAGTTTTTATATTACATCTTGACGCGCGCGTATTTTATGGTGTGTGGTAAAATAAAAAGAAACATGCTATTCTTTTTGAATAAATAATTACATTTTTTTTTCACGTTTTTGGTTATAGTATAATAGAGCACTTCATTTAATTATCATGTATTTTTCATGTAATTGTCATGTAATTGTTGGTGGTTTTAGCCTTTTCTCATTCACTTCTCAATCCCTCCGAAAATCGTAAATCATATGTAAATATCGAGTTATTACCTCAGAAAATTCACTAGCATTTTGCGAATTGCGCTGAGCAATTTTCATGGCAATTCTCATACCCCGAATTACCATAAAATCAATTGAACTGACAGAGGGAAGTATTCATCAGAAGTTTGCTGTTTTCTCCAGAATTAGCATGAACCTTGAATATCATTCATACTCAGTGATGCGCAATCACAGAAACCCATTACAATGCACCGCAAATCGATGAAACCTATGTGACGACTCAGTTTCCCCTTTTGCAATTAATTTTCCGAGTTTATTTCATTCTCCAGGAGTACTATCACGGCTCGCCAACCTTCCAACACGATGTCCACATATTTGTCGAGAAATATCCGGTGCCGGATATTGAACGATTGCCCGACTACTACACAATTTATTACTTTCTCGTTGAACAAAAGATTCAATGCCGCCTCTATCTCGGCTATCACCGAATTTATGAAAAAACGTCAAAGGGAATTTATATCGAAAATTTTCTCATCTACAAAAAAGAAGTTATAACTTATCCCCCTAAAACCACTCATTAACGAGATAATTACAAAAATTGACAAACCTTCAATCTCACACTGGATTTTTTTACTCCATTACTCCGGAGTAAAAATCTCCGTAACGCGTGGATTTAGAGCAAACTTCAAAGGACATTTTTTGTAGAGAACTTCTTTGTCTATAAAAAATGTGGTATGAGATTTCCCTCTAGAACCGCTCATTCTCGAGATAATTACACAATTAGAAAGGTTGATATCGGTATAGTGCGTGATATTCAGGAAATTGACAGAGTAATCAACTATTACCGCAGCGTAAATAGACGACGTGGCCCCAGTAAAACTTCAATCGCTTCAAAACTTCTATTTACTTGCATTTATTGACATTCTCATTATTTCTGCAAAGCAAAAGAGCTTCCACAGTTTTAGGTCACCCGGAGAAATAATTTTACGAGTAAATTTTCCATGACCAATTTTCCATTTCAATTACATGTACACGCGATGCTCTATCCGCTCAAAATTCGACAGCAGTCGATAATTACTAAATCATTACAACTTTTGCGTTAATCCATTGAAGAACATTGGAGATCGTGGACGGACACGTGACGCATAAGATCAAATAACTCCGGTGGATCATGAGCGAGGATCAATATTCATCGAGATGTTCTCTTTTTATATTTTATCTTCTCCTATTTTATATTTCGTATATCGCGAAATTATTCATGAAATCGAGAACTCGCGGAAGGTCGCAAAAGATGAAAGACGCATTTTTTTCAAATTAAGAATGATGCCGTAGACTGGAGGAATTTATCTCTCCTTCGAGGGAATTTGGTATCTCCAGGGAATTTGTATTATTCTCTCTTTGAGCCTTTTCCAAGGATAAACCATTCAATAAGAACTCGCGGAGGTTTCAGGATAAGTTGTTTTCAATCTGGCAACGCCCGACAGCCGGAATGATGGCCGAAATTGCTTGCATTGAGAAAAAAAAAATAGATCTTTGCGGAGAATCCATTTGCTTGAGAAAAGAATGTATTTTATCAGAAGATTCTCTTCGAATAATTCCCAGTCAAATAATTCTCTATTGTTACCAGGTGATAATGATAATATTACTTGGATTGGATGGTATGTGGGATATTGTCCTTGGATAGAATCCCCTGATTATTATTCTGATTATTCTTTGTTATTAAGTCCCGAACATACGTAATTATCTTGATGGAACCCTGAATTGTTCGATTGGAATCAACCCTCCAATGAACCCAATTGTTCCCTCATAACTCGTGGAACCCTGGGAACCGATGATTCCAAGCCGACCAAGAGTTCAAACCAGAGCAAAAAATGTAGTCCCCTTCGAGTTTCGAACCGGTATCCTTCAGAACACTTCAGTCACTATGTTCAAGTCCTAAATTTCCTGACTTGAAGAAATTTTCGGAATTCTTTACTATTGATAACTAGAGAATAACTGAGAGAATTTACTCAAGATCATAATAATTATTATCAAGCTAGTCGGGTTCATCTGGAGCTGACTGCAAACGACATTTTTCTGAAAATACTCTTCCTAAATAATTGAATCCATAATCGATTTCCATTGGAATTATGGGTAGAGATTATTCAAAATTAATTATGAGGTTGAGTATTACGGAATAGCCGAATATAGAGTCCAGCAGTTTCCAGCAAGTTTTGAGCTGATTTAAACTTTAACCAGTTAATTATATTTTGAACAGAATAACGAGTGCACCAGACCATAACCAGGATTATTTTCCTTGTTTGCTAGCGATAAGTGGATGTAAAAAAAAAATTTCCCCTCCAGTGATAATCGCAAGTAGGAGCATGAAAAATCATTTCGGGTCGTGTTTTCTCTAACAAGGAGGAGTTCGATGCCTTCAGTTGCTCACAATCTTACATCAGAGATTATTTTTGATGCCTCAGTCAAGAGAGGTGCTAGCCTAAAACTGGAGTCGATAAATAAAAGCTCAATGTTGAACTTGTGGATTTAGGACTTCATAGGAACTCCTCCATTACGTACTGGCCAACTTCCTAGCAACTAACGATCATATTGGAGTTTTGGCTCCTGGTAAAGCGACAATGGCTCTTCAGACCGCTCATTTGAACTCCAGCGAAAGCTTATCCCAGAAAATATTCGTAGAAAACTGGAATCCAGATGCTCAAGTGTGCGGTATACTCCAATTTCAAAAGGCACTCGATTATTTTCACATCCGTCCTCTCTTTCATCATGTGCTTTCAATAAAAATCGAGGGTAATGGATATCCCCAGGAAGAGATACAAAAATAGCCGAATATTTCGTTAAACAATTGTTTGAGACAGTGAAAAAATCTCCAAGTTCATCCCCAACGTCTTAAACTGCGGAGACAAAAAAAACTGAGTATTCAAGAATTGATCCTTCCGGTAATTATCCATTTATTTCGAAATCAATAATTTTCACGCGGAAATGTCAAAGGACTTTTTTTCAGCTGATTAAATTCTCTAAAGAAAATCTCTCTTGATATTTTCGGGTAGGATGAATGGTTTGAGAATGAATTAATAAATTAAACTGTTGAGACAAAAAAAACCAAGTATTCAAGAATTGATCCTTCCGGTAATTATCCATTTATTTCGAAATCAATAATTTTCACACGGAAACATCAAAGGACTTTTCTTCAGCTGATTAAATTCTCTAAAGAAAATCTCTTTTGATATTTTCGGGTAGGATGAGTGGTTTGAGAATGAATGAATAAATTAAACTGTTGAGACAAAAAAAAACCGAGTATTTAAGAATTGATCCTTCCGGTAATTATCCATTTATTTCGAAATCAATAATTTTCACGCGGAAACGTCAAAGAACTTTTTTTCAGCTGATTAAATTCTCTAAAGAAAATCTCTTTTGATATTTTCGGGTAGGATGAGTGGTTTGAGAATGAATGAATAAATTAAACTGTTGAGACAAAAAAAAACCGAGTATTTAAGAATTGATCCTTCCGGTAATTATCCATTTATTTCGAAATCAATAATTTTCACGCGGAAACGTCAAAGGACTTTTCTTCAGCTGATTAAATTCTCTAAAGAAAATCTCTTTTGATATTTTCGGGTAGGATGAATGGTTTGAGAATGAATTGATGTAGAAATAGACCAAAATGTATGATCTTTGAATTTCAGGTGGAATTTATTTTCTGTAGCAATCACTTCCGAAGTGTCCAACGAGTGACGAGAAAATCTTGGCCTTCGGATACAGTATACCAAACAAAAAACAAGTGCCAGAACTTCACTAACAACTGCCACAAATCTCATAAAGCTGGGAGAGGAGGAAAAAAAAATGGTGAAATACGGTTGGTTTAGTGCCAAAACCGAGTCTCAGAGTAATAACAGTATCTGGTGACCTTCGTGGAGTATAGCTAATGTGTGGGTGCACGGGGAAACAAAAATGCACCAGCAATAGGTCATAAGTTCAATTTTCTTTGAAAACCAGCTGCTACTGTTCTCGCGGCTATCCATTCCCATCTGGACGATACTTCCTGGGGATCCGGGTGTTCGAATGTTTACGAGGTAAGATAGTGGAACGCGTTGAGCGTGAAAATGCATTTCTACCCCAGATCGCGTGATTTCATCATTTTACTAACCATTGTCTGTCTGCTTTTTGTTTTTAATAGTTATCTACTTCGGGGCCAAGAACGAGATCTCTTTATTCGTATGCAACACTTCACAAATACTCGGATACTGGAGTAATTACTCTTTTTTGGAATTCCAGAAATTCTGGATGCAGTGGAATTCGGAATTAGTCACATTGGGGTTTAAATTTCCGTTTTAATTTAAAATCTCATTAATTAAACATTGTCTTCTTGGTGGAATAAATTTGAAAAAAATCCTCATTAGTTCTTGCTGGGAGCTGTTTACGGCAAAAAGTGCACTAATAATCTCGGACTTTGTGCCTAGGTGAGGATTAATGGATGCGGGAGATAAATCCTGGGGGAATTTCGAGGAAAATTCCAGGGCTTTGACGAAATTCGTCGACCTTTAGGGCCGAGAGACATCGGGAATTTGAAATGGTGTGCTTTCGAGGTGATTCTGTGTGCTTTCAATTTTTGAATTTCAATTTAATTTCTAAAATTTTGGGATTCTTCCTAAAAGTTTAGGAAAGACGCAGGAGAATTTCCCCACTACCTCGAAACTTCATGAGTTATTAAATGAAAACAAAATGCAAGAAAGTAATATTAAATAAAAATAGAAATTAAATAATTAAATAAAAAAATAATTAAACGTGAATTCTTTCCGTTTCAGCTGCATTTTTTTTACATCAATTTAATTAATCTTTTCTCAAAAATTAATCAGGAACTTTGAAAACGAGGAGATATCGGCATTTGATATAAATATGATTTTATTATTTTGTTGGAATAAATCTGAGTAATTTTGTAAATGGAAAATTCGGGAATTCGGGAAATTACTTGAGTAAAAGGAAAAGTGATCGAAATAATTAATAATAATGAAGTGGTGCCTACTGCAGCAATTGCGGCGGTTTGAAGCTGATATCAAATCGGTAAGTAGAATCGCAGCTGAGTTTTACAGTCTTGAGCTGCCTGAACCTCGCCGATGTCTCCATTTTGCAGAAGACAGGACCGGCACCAGGTTCTTTCCTGACGGAAAGCGTCACCCGAAAATGGCCATCAGCACCCATCTAACATCTCCTACGCGGGATAATCGAATTAACCAATCACTTCTCCGAATTTCTCCGACTTTAATCACTTGAACGGGTGAATTTCCGCCGAAACCTGCGCCACCGGCGTCGGGACGCTCACTGAGGTACGTCGCGACGGCACGCGTATTTCACTACAACTGCGCAACTTCTCCCCGCACAACTCTATTTTTTTTTCACCTCCAGATCTTTCAAAGTTTTGAGGATTATTTTGGTTTGAAGTGAACAATGGTCAGTCCGAGTTGGCGAAAACGTAATTGGTATGATTCGTCGTTTCAATATATTTTGAATATTTCACGGAGAAGCCGCCAAATTAAATAGCGTAGAATGCACGAATTTTTCGGATATCTATTTCTCGGATATCTGCGATTTTTTGGAGAATAAGTTAATGAGCTCCATAATTTTTATTTCAATTTTCCAATTATTTTTGTTGACAATTTTTTTTTATGCTAATTTTACTGAGAGAGAGAACTGAATTTTTTTCTTCGGTTTGAATTCTTGTTCGGTCTGGAACCGGTTCAAGGGTTCCATGAGTTTTAACGAGCAATTCGGTTCCAGGGAGGGATGATTTCGATGGAATCATCGGCTCAGGGATTCATAAGTTCAAACGGAATAATTGACTTCATGAGAGGAATGATTCCGATAGAACAATTGAGGGTTCGATAAGAATTCGTACATTCGGTATTTAAAGAAAACGAATAATAATCAGTGTAGTTTATCCAAGGACATGTCCACACAAGCAATACAATTATTATTATCAGAACCGAATCGAAATCGCCCAAAAATCCCCATGACTTTACATCATCAATTCTATCTGTAATTATACTCGGAAGTTCAAATTGATGTTGCCACATGCAACTTTGGAATTGATTATGGATAGTGGAACAATCGCTGTTCCAGGTCTCCAATTACTTCAAGTTAATCCTGCGTTCAGGAATCCCCTTGTCCTCCAGCCTCAATAAAGACCCTCGGCGACGGACACCCCGAGAACACGGAAAATTAACGCCATCAGCTACAAGCGTCCCTCGTTATGCTTTCACCCCACGTACCCCAGAGCCACCCCCGACACCTCTCTCATCCGGGATTCCTCTGATCCAACGACAAAATACACAATATCGATTTACTAATTAAACTCACATTCCGGAAATATCTCATTAAAGATGAGAAGCAGCTCCAATTCATACTTTATTTCCCGCTTTTCAATTCCGCATCACTTCACTTTTTTACACCACGACAATTTCAGTTCATCCGGTTGCAACTCCATTTAATTCTCCCCTGCAGGAAAAAATGATTAAGCTAATGGTTTTCGCGGAAATTAAATGGATCTCCTGAGTTGTCACACAAAAAATTATCACGGTTTTCCATGAGTTTCTTTGAATCCAGTGAAATCCAACGAAATTAGAAAACAGTTTCTCTTCTAGAGATAATTATCAACGCCACCAGCTGGTATAAAACATTCATGTCCAATTAGCAAACAGGCAGACTGTTTATCCTGCTGTTCTCGATGGAGCCGACGTCATTAGGCTCTCCATTGTGAACCCTAAACTGAAAAAAGCCAAGACAAAAGATCTAGATTCAACTTAAATAGCAACAAGTACATGGATCGATATTCCGTCCATGTGTATAAACGAGAACATGCGCCCATTACGATGGCTCTAAAAAAATCCAGTGTAACAATGATTCGATGATAAACTGGTCGGAAGAATCGATTCAACTCGTTGCTTTGTCAATCAGCTTGAGAGTTTTTTTTAGTGACTCCAAATGTCATAGGGTGGAAAAGGTAAAATATCTCATTGAAATAGACACCATCAAGCGCTTCAACGTCAACGAGAATCCAATGGTTAATCCCTAAAGTACTATTCCCGCTCATCGATTCTCTCGTTCTAAATTTATTTCTTCAATTACCTGCAGACATTCCACTGCAGTTGCACACTCCAAACTTTAAATTACCTGCAGATATGTAACCAGTGTCGCTTTATGTGCGGATTTATTTATTTATCTGGAGAGAGGAGTAAGGTAGTGCATCCAGGGGATATTATCCAAGAGATAATTCCAGCAATAGGGTGGCGGAGGTAATTATTTCTCGATGCAGTGGTATTGCGTAATTGGGATGGTGTTACATGACGAGGTTTTGTCTGCGGGTATTTAATGTCATGGGATTGGGGTAATTTTCTAGCTCGGTGGGGTGGAGGAAATTAGGGGGTGAGAATGTCAACTTCATTTTGCTGCGTTAACTATTTTTCTCTGGACGATTGAGGAAAATCCGGGAAAATTTCCACGAATTTTTCAATATTTTATCCTTTTTCATAAATTTTTTTTTCTGTTGATTTGCAACATAAAAATTCGATTTAAACCGAAAAAATTATGTAATTAACAATTTTCCATTGCGAGATGGAGGAAAATTCGGAAAAATTCCCATGATCGACGTTTTCCGAATTTTCCGAATTTTTTTTTCTGTTCATTTGCACCATGAAAATTCGATTCAAACCGCAAAAATTATGTAATTAATATAGAGATAGAAATCTATGATTTATTATCAGATTTTCCAGTTAATAATTTTCCATCCGGAGATTGATGAAAATTCTGGAAAATTCCCACGAATGACATTTTCCCCTTTTTCTGAATTTTTTTTTCCGTTTCATTTGCACCATAAAAATTCAATTCAAACCGGAAAAATTATGTAATTAACAATTTTCCCTTGCGAGATGGAGGAAAATTCGGGAAAATTCCCACGAATGACGTTTTCTCCTTTTTCCAAAATTTTTTTTCTGTTCATTTGCCCGTTGAAAATTCGATTCAAACCGCAAAAATTACGTAATTAATATGGAGATAGAAATCTATAAATTTTCCCGTGGGAGATGGAGGAAAATTCTGGAAAATTCCCACGAATGACATTTCCCTCTTTTCCTCCGATTTTTCCTGTTCAATTGCGCCGTGAAAATGAGTTTCAAATCGAAAAAATGAAATGAAAAGTCCCCAAAAATTTATAAATACCCCACATCCCGAGATATTGTGCAATATTAAAAAAACTGATGTTCCCCCCACAATAATCAATGTCCCCCCCGGGAAAAATCGAATCTCATTAAAAATATCTCTACACCCTAGTGATCAAATCCCTCGCCCACTCAGGCATTCATCAACGTATAAATAAATCTGTGAATCAGGCATAAATTAAACACGCGATGTACCTGACTTGGTCTTGAGTCTACCAACGATTCCACCCCTTCACACGCAGCTACAGCCCTTAACCAGTGGATATACCACTAAAATAAAATGGAAAAATGGAAAAACCGGTGTAGAAGGGAAAGGGGTGGAAAGGGGAAGTAATTGCAGGCAATAGCATTGTGGTCAGCTGCTGGGTATAAGCAGGTCAGTGGAACATCGACGTGTCTGAAACTTCTCCTCGAAGTTGTAACGTAAATTTTTGATAATTGTGGACAAGCCAAATGCCATGGGATGTGACTAATGATTCAAATTGACAGCACAACTTTCATTATATAAATTATTTGAATTGTTTAAATTATTTAAATTATTTCTAGGGAAGAAAAATGACAATTCCATCCTGGGAGTCAAGTCATTGAAATAATTAAGGGTGTAAAATAATTTCTGCAACTGGCGCCTGAAAGTCGACCCCACTTAATTACTGTAGTCATGCATAGGTGATTAAATGTTCACTGATCGTGGTATGTGATTTTTCAAGAGTCCTTGGGTGGTGTGCATCAGCTTCCCCGAGTTTTATCGGTAAAACGAGAGCATCACGTGACTCAATGCGACTATTTCCTGGTAATTCTCTGGGGTAACAATGAGATAAAACAGGCAAGATTAACAAGGTATATTTACAGCATTTGATACAGACTTTGTAATAAAACTATTGTCCAAGTATTTACAAAAAGTCTTTCATTGGATCGAAGCCATGAAAGCCCCAGGAGTCATGAAAAAGGGATTTGACGTCTTGAGACCAGATTTTCAATCAAAATCTGTAAACATGAGTCCCTCAGTTGGAATTCCCAGCTGGAGTGATACGTTCAACGGCTTCATTAACACTTTTACTCAAATCAATTTGATTTCTTCTCCTTCTGGGCTCGACAAAGCCCTCAGCGAGGCCCTGCCCCACCTTGATGGGCTGACCAACATCAACGGAAAATTGAAAATTCTCGGGCGCCTCAAACAGCAATACCACTGTGGAGCCCATTCTGAACTCACCGAATAGCTCTCCTTTCTTGACGTTGACACAGTCGAGGTTGGCGTCCTCCCAGATTTTTCCTCTTGGCCACTTTCGTTTGTTCGTTGCTAGGGTTTTATCACAGTAGACTCGGATGGAGCCCACATTGGTAGCACCAACAGCTGCATACGCCATGAAACCACCTGACCACTCCCCAAGGTAAACCACACGCTCGTTTAAGGAGAATAAGTCTGGTAGCCAACTTGCTATTTTTGGGTTTACACTCAGTAGTTTTCCTGGAAAACAGGAAATCAATCGTTCGTTATTCATTGTTATACTAAATTTATAACGTTGTAAACGATGAAAAAATTTATTTTTTCGAAAACATCGATTGGACGTTGAATTTGATGATAATTGAATTATTTTTAACGAAGTAATTATAATTTTCACATTTTCACATTCGAAAATTTTTATCGCAACTACACCCATTTCAATAAAAATAAAGAGAGATTGTATTTAACGCACAAAATTTTGAATCAATAAAAAATAGTGAAATGCAGCAAACCTTGAAAATGTCTCCTCAGGTCGATCCTCCAATTGGCGGGACTGTGAAACCGATGATAATCCCCAGGAGCGAGATAAACAGTTAACTGATAAAGTTTGTTGGCAGGATTCTTCAAGAGGGACTTGACATAGTGATCATTATCCTCTTTGCTGTATGGAATTTGTCCACCGATTTTCGATGGCCTCGAATCACCCAGGAAGTGCCTGAGATCATAGGTCATGCCTTTGACCTGCTCCACACGACAGGAAGTGACGGGACCGAAGTGCAGGACTTTACCATCTGAGGGAGAGACCTAAACTTCATTTATTTATGAATAATTCAGTGAACAGCATCATACGTGCGTCCACTTCCATCGACTAAAACACATGATGATTTACTCACGATATCAGTGTTTTGAGCAATTGGTCTGGCATCGTCTCTCAACGATCTCACGAAGAAATCCACGAGACTTGGGAAGGACGCAAGGTCCGAGTCAATTTCCTGTAGATTTGCATGAAAAGTCCTTGCATAGAGATTAAAGACGAAGGGCCTGAAACCCTTGGGGAGTTCCACACTTGCAAACCAACCAAATGCTCGGCTGGTGATCCTCAAGGGAAGGCAGCAGTAACAATCCACCTGAAAATACAACACGAGAAATCATTCAATTGAATTATCCGCTACCCTGAGGGGTATGATATGTACCTGGAGGTGACTAATTAAGAAAAATAGGACCCATAAAATTCCAACTAAAAATACCTGAACATAAATTGAAAACAGACGACTGGAAAATTAAGATGAAGATGAATAAATTACCATTAAGTCACTTATGGGTCCCTGGACCACATCCCCATCAACAGCATAAGGATATCTCCTGAGGTGTCTCCACTGCAGAACAGCAATCAGTGACACCCCAACCCCAATAGGTAGACTGACTCTCCATCTCCTGGATAAACTCCACAGCCCTCCAAATTTATTCTCAGGATTGGCAGTGGTTGCATACCTGATCGGCACCTGAGTCTTGAGTGTCTCCCACGAGGTGCACCTGCTGTCACAACAACTCAGTTTCAAATGAGAAGTAAAATAATGAGTGATAACTCACCGCACGTGTCGATTTCCTCTTAAAATCCTAAAAATTGACATCCTCAATCCAATTAACCTGATGGGATCAACTGGCTGGTGGCTTTGGGGTTATGTCTACTGTTTTTACCCTCTGTTTTGCTCTGTTCTCCTTGCTCCGTCGATATCCCCACATTTGACGATTCCACGAGGTGAAGCCCTTGATTCAATCCTCAAGGACAACCCTCGATCGGGTGGTGCACGTGAACCTCCACACGTGCTGCACCGTATACGGGATTTAGAGAATTTATCGAGCACATTTTCAGGCGACTGGGGATTAACTATTTCTAAGTGATTTTTGCACTGCGCATGTCGCCTTTTTTTCTAAGAGATCTAAGTAAATTGTTGAATTTATAGGGAAATTCGGATTTAGAATTTTTTTGTTCGTTTTTCATTGTTTATTTACTTATCTGAATAGGAATATTTGATCGGTAGTAGAAGACCCTGCGAAATGTGCGGTTCAAATTTTTTATTAAACATTCATGACTCAAAAATTAATCGATTACTCAAAATCCACAGTCTCGCCTTTTTTTTTCAAGGCCACATTCTCTTGAAATCGCGTTAATTTTATTTTTGATTAAATTAAATATCATGAGTTCTAGACTAATTGAACAATTTGAGAACAAAGATTCAAGTTCTGATAATCATTTATTATTAATTTTTAATCCATCTAATTTAGGTGGCGGTTATGCCCTTCTGTCACTTGGGGCGTAATTGATTTCCCTGAGAAAATCTCATTTAAGTTCAGCAATAATTAGCGTAATTAAATTAAATTAAACAAATTTCTATACAAAATCATTAATCAATTCTTTCAATCGACTAATATCGATTTCTACATAGAATTACTAAATCATTAATTGCCAGAATGTAATTAATAAAATCCAGAATAAAAAACTGGAACTTCATTTCTAGTTTCGTCACTAATTTGTTTATTCCAATTAACTCAAACCATTTTCAACATAAAATCATGAATGAATTAATTCATTAATCGACTCCATCAATAAATTATCGTCTATTAATTAATTGATTAATTGATTGAAAAGCGCGAAAAAATGAATAAAAATAATGAATCAATTAAATTGAATTCTAATTAATGTCATTACAAGACCTGACAAGAAGACCCAAGTGTTTTCATAAAAAATCGTCGTCTCCATTTCTTCCCCCAGTTAAAGTCACAATCAACTAATTAGAGTTGTTTACCCCCTCTCATTAGACAACCGACAGACACCGAGGCGACGAGGTCGGCCTCGAACTTCCCTTCGCCTCGTCTTTCACCACCCAACAACAGGTGGCTCCACATCCCAGGCAGGTGAATCAGTCGTGCATCCGACACGAGTGCGTTCTGTCCTCTCCTTCCAATCCTCTCATTTTTCTCTGGACAAAAAAAAAAAAGTCTCCCCCAACTGCCAAATTGCCCCGATCACAGAACCCACAGTTTCACCCTGAGTTATCGCCCTCACCAATTCCCCACCCTCGAAATAAACCCCAGGTGAAAAAAAAAAATCTCTGGACTCTGGGTGTCCTGGGCTTCTTGGGGATGCTGGTGCGCATGGAACGGAACAGCTGTTCCTCCCGTTTGTGATAAATAAAGTGGAGGTGGGGGGAGATGGTGTCAGTGGCTTCAACAAGTTGAGGGTAAAAAACTGATAGCGATTGTCGTGCTGGTGGCCATTGGAGGTTTATCATCGATTGGTGATAGTGAAAGTGATATTTATTTATGAGGGAGGATAATTGTGGAATAATGCCACCGTCATCACACTCCAACTGGACAAAACCCCTCCTCAAGGGTGGACAAATGATGCAGATGCAGGTGAAACGTGCCACTGGGGGTGTCAGGCAAAATGTCCAGGAACTCGACAGAAGGATTAAAGTGGTGCTGGTGGGTGATGGAGCTGTTGGCAAGACAAGTCTCGTTGTCTCATACTCGACCAATGGTTTTCCTGGAGAATATGTGCCCACTGCATTTGATAATTACAATGGTATGTCGGGATATTCTCTTCTCTTCTTTCTTCTTTTTTTTTTTCACCCGGTGGAGGCAATTGTGGGGGAGATGCTACACTGGGAGAGTTTCATGGGCAGTCGACCGGAGAGGGTACAGTCCAGGGGGAAATTCAGGATTGGAAATATTTTTATTTTTATCTCTTGGGAATCCCTCGATATCCAAAAAAATTTCCTCTCATAATCAAAAAACAATTATCCTTCAATATTTATTGTTCACAATTTTCTTTTTGTTCCCTTTATTCACATAATTTCTATTCCCCTGAATTTTTATGTTTATTTTTATTTTTAAAAATACAATTTTTCTCGTTTTTATTCTTTTATTCACGATTGCCCGATTTTTCATAATTAATTGTTCTGAAAATTAAAAGTTCATGAAATGGCATGAATATCTCAAGTACTTGAAATAACATATTTTCTCATTTTTGTTATTTAATTTCTTCGCCTGATTGTTGATTGTTGATGAAAAATTCCCATTGTCATGTCAATTTGGTTTATCCATAATTAATAGGTCTAGATATTGTTTATCTGTTTGTTGAATGGCTCGTGGTTGAGCGTCTGAGTCATCGGGCTAGTTGTTTTATTGGGTGCAGGGGTACTGGTGATTTCTGGAGTGACTGTACACACCAAGGTAGACAGACAGGGCAACAGGTGAGAGTATACCGCCACTGGCAATGGCTTGTGTGGCTTGTGAAAAGAGAGGATGCCACTTGTGCACAGCAATTCACGAAAGAGGGATTAAATTACTGCTCGAAAAATCCCGGGTATAGGAAATTCCGGGTATCTAGTAGACCGGTTGTGGCTTGGGTTTCAGTTTCACACGGGATTTCAATCAGTGGATTAAATTTTTTTATTAAAAAAGCCATAATAATTAATCATTAACTTAATTAATAGCCCTAAACCCAATCCTAAACCGATTACGAGAAAAAAACTGGTTTAACAATCAGTTTTTACTGAATATCTCCGAAGCCCGATGTGATAGCAGATTTTTTGATAAAACATTTTTTGTAGCCGATCAAATTATCTATGAAAAAGCTCCAACAAATATTTCGCTATCTCCTGTGAGTTCGGAGATATCCGACAGACACAAATCGACTTTCAATCAGATGCACAATTTTTTTTCCATCGAGTTTCCAGGAATGGAGTGAAATAATTATCGCGGTATTGAGCGATTACGTATCGCCGATATTTCGATTATTGATGAACCCACGCAAATGTCATACAGCAGTAAATGTTATGAAATGCCAGGGATACATATGACTCGGTTGAACTATTATTAAAGGTTTCCATCATCTTTGCATGAGTTATTTAGAATTCATTGTCCAAGCTGATGTCTTCATGAATCTATTTTCAGTGGTGGTCAACGTCGACGGCCTGCCCCTGAATGTTCAGCTGTGTGACACAGCTGGACAGGATGACTTTGATCCCCTGAGATCGCTGTGCTATCCTGAGACCGATGTCTTCCTGGTTTGCTACAGCGTTGTGTGCCCATCGAGTTATCACAGTGTTACTTCCAGATGGGTGGACGAGGTCAGAAAGTATTGCCCTCATGCACCGATTATCATCGTAAGTACAGAAATAGATTAATTGCAGTCTTCCGCAATTTGCTACATGACAATCCACTGATTATCTTGAATTTTTCCCAAATATTCGTGAAACCGTTGACACCATTGAAAAACTTATCTCTTCCTTTTTTGTAGGCTGTAAGATTCTGAACAAAAATCCCTTATCGCATTTTCCTCTCAGCTCACTCATTATCGAGATATTCGAGATATCGAGATAGATCGGTAATGGGGACGTGGAAATGAAAGATTGATTGATCCAAAATTATTGATTTACAGGTGGGTACAAAGAGTGATCTCCGCTCGGATGTTCGCCTGATGCTGCAATTAGCTAGATACGGTCAGGCACCGATAACCACAGCTCAGGGTCATCGGCTGGCCCAGAGGCTTGGAGCAGTGAGTTACGTCGAGACATCGGCACTTACTCAGCACGACCTGAAAGAGGCCTTCGATCAGGCGATAGTCAGTGCACTCAGCACAAGACGTGGTGGTGCCAATTTGTTGTCACGTCGTAGAAAACCCCCTCCACTCTGGAGAAGATGGTTGTGCTGTTGGGAAAGGCCGTCATCAGGCCCCTAAGTCACTTCCAAAAAAAAATATTCCAATCATCACAAAACGGCTCTCATTGAAACGATTTATTTCTGCTGTCGTGGCGGTAAATTTCGAGTACATAATATACTCTCGAGAATTGTTCTCTTTTTTTTTCTTCGAATCGTTCCAATCGTGACGATGACGAGAGAATTTTATTTACGTTAGGCTGAGTCGACGGAACTGCGAATATAGATTTTACGTGGGCGACCGGACAATATTATAATCAACTCAATTGATGTCTTGCCAAGTTAGTGTTATTAGACGTTACTCGATGCTTGTCCCTCTGGTAAGGGTTTTAAATCAAAAGGTATACGATTTTTTTTTCACTCCATTCATTAAGTCAGAAGCCAAGTGGAAAAATAAACCGATTCGAATAACAGTCTCCTCAAATATCAATTTATTTTAAAAACAAGCGATTTTAGGAGAAAAGACGAAAATACATTTTGTCTCGGAAATTTAATAGTCAACAAGAAAGTCCTTTTCTGTTTTCACCGTAAATTGATAACTTCCGAGATAAATCGATAAATGGGAAAATTTGAAATTTGACTCGCGTTGTTTTTCCATTTTGTTGCTGAATTATTTAAATTATATACGGATTTGGTAACAATGCGGTTGCAGTGATATGGTCTTCTGGTTTTTCAGTTTTCAGAGGTATTTCCATGATCTCATCTTTCGATAAAAAACAAGAGGAATATTAAAGCCTTAGAATTTCTACGACTCATGTCGATTATTTCCAATGTCTCACGTAGAGATAAGATTTCGTATCAGTGACTGCAAACTATAAAAAACTGCAGAGAAATGAGTAATGCATAATATTTGAAAGGAGGGACTTTGAGTCGTGCTGAAGGACCATGAACTAGATTATCGAACCAATTGCCTAATTTAGGATATAACATTATTTATTGGAACGGTAGCTTCCTATTATCGTTTTTCCTCGCCACTCGCTGGTTGTGATCATTTTTTGAGCCCACGGACGGCATTTGGTTGTGATTTCTTGGGTTTTCCAAACATTGGCTCAATTTTTTTTTAATTCCTGTTCTGCGGATTTATTTTAATGGAATTCAGTGGCGATGGGGCGAAGGGTGCAAGGTCGAGTCAGCTAATGCGTAATTTTTCGATGGATAAATCTAAAAGATACAAGGAAATCGACTTGTCCCATTCACCTCTTCGTTCTTGATTTCAATTTTATATAATTTGTAACTTTGTGGATATTTCTATTTTTACCTACTGACAGTTGTTTTTAATTATTTTTAAGTCCGTAATGGGATAACGTTCATCGAATTCAGATGAATGAATTTTATGAAATTTTGTATATTTTGAAATATTTTCGGTATTTTCGGTCTCAATCATGTAATTGTACATATTAATTTAATAATTAACTGCAATACTCTGGTGTTTATTTGGTATTAATGATTTCAGAAATCGACCAGCGGATCATTGCGTTGATGTAAGCGAATTTAGACTGATGATGATGTAATAATTAATTTATAGTATTATAGACGCTTACTCGGAATAATTAAATTGACGGTATTTTTTTAAGAAAACTAAATTAGATGTTCTTTGTTCCTTTC